ATCACGCTGCAAATCAGTATATTTGAAATTGAAGGTGTGCACACAATGTGCCATATTATTCAACAGTTTTACAGTTGATACAAAATTTTATTTTGCTGTATTAATTGATATATGATTCGCCACTTGCATTTAATGGGCAAAAGAATGATTTCTAACCACTTTTCTTCTGTGTCTTAGTCTTAGTACAAAAATTATGAAATTTAAAAAATTGTATTGTGTAAACAATTTGGAAAAATAATGAATTTAATAATAATTTTATAATAATTTAAATTGAATGAAAATCTACAGATGGCGTGCTAGCAGTAGTTATTTAAAATAATAATAAAATTCAAAATTTCTACCCACAGCCTCATTTTATGAATATACTAAAATTAGTAATATATTTTATATTAAACAAAGTAACATTTATGTGGGTGTTATTCTTATTTTCTAAAATTACCACAAGACTAAAAATTTAATTTTAATTAAAAACACCTTTTTGGTATACCATTCAAATTTTATTAATTTGTAAATTTTATAAAAGGCGTGCAAAAAAACTCTTAATTTGAAAACATTTCATTACTTAAAATGTGATTAATTTCGATTTAATTATTTTAAGAGGTCTAAAAATCTTTTCCATGTATTTTTTTCTTTTATTTTCTGAAAAAAATTAATAATTCACATTTTATTACCGTTTGATTATTTTACACAATTATTTTGATATATTTTTTTTTCTTTGCCCCCCCCACCCCCACCCCCTTATGTCCCCTTAGTATATATAACAAAAATTTCTATTAATTAAACCTACAAAGTAAATAAATTTAATTTTCCTTAAAAAGTTTTTATTTGTAAAAAAAATAAAAAAAAAAAAGAACAATAATGTCGAATAAATTTATTACCAAAGTTTTCAGATTTTATAAATGTATCTAAATGTATATAAAAGTATAAAATTGTATTATATTAATAAAGCTATAAAAAACAAGTAAGAAGAAATATCTTAAAAATTTCATCAGAATTCTTACACAAATCCATTATGATTTGTAAAGCCAATTTTAAAGATCAAATCGATGTTTTGTAAAATAGCACATTTGAGCGTGTAACAAAAATTATGTTTGTTTATACATTATTTTCTTATTAAATTCCGTCAATTGCATACTTTTTGGGGTTTGACAGAACTTGAACGAATAAAGACGTAATTGAATAGCAAATTAAGGTCAGTCAAAGCACATTATTGTATTTTCTGATAGGAAGACATTTAACTTCACTTCTTTGCTTTTATATTAAAATTTGAAAAATTTTACAGTTTCGAAAAGATAAAGAGTCCAAAATTGAAATTTTACTAATTTTTATAATGGCGATAGCTCCGGAGAGAAACAATATATGGCAAATTTAAATGTAGGAATTAAACCTATCATTTAATAGGATTTGGAGGAATATTATAACTCTTAAAAGGAGCGAATTGTGGGTAATTTCTAAAATGAGGGTAAAATAGTTATTTATGAAATTTTATTTTTTTTATCTCAAATGGGCGAGACAGGTAGTCGACAGAACATAATTGGACAAAATGATGCTAATATAACTAAATTTTTGTCATTTTACTTGAAAAAATGCCTAAAAACAAGAACAGAAAATAATAAAAATGAAAAATTCATTGAAAAATTTTTTTAAGACGTCTGAATGAAAAGTAAAAACCAAATAACAATATTATTATATGTAGTAGGATCACATTGAAAGCAAAATGAATGGCAACACACAAATTCTTTTACATTATATTGAATGTGACGTATATATATATATATGTATATATGGATGAGTTTTCCATGAATTTATTTATGTATATATAATAAACAGTGTACATGTAGATGTGAATATATTGTATTTGTCAAACCAAATTAAAATACATTTTCAATGTTTGAGGATTAAATTAATTTTACACTTCAGTTGTGTATATTTACTTTTCTATGAATTTTAAAATTTTTATCCTTTTTATATAGCAACTAAATAAAAATTTTCTTTTTATGTCTAAAATACAAATATCTTTTCTTCATTCATCCTCTTAAATGTAAATTAAATTTTTATTATTCTTCTATTTTTTTTTTTTGTGTTTATTATGGGAAAATGAAAAATATATAGGCAAAAGCAATTGGTTGACTAAATGGTGTTTTTAACAAAGATAAGCTTTAGAATTTAAATTTTGTATTAAAATTAAAAAAAATATATATACACTGTGACATTACTGTTCACTAATAATAAAAGTAAATTAAGAATTTTTGAATTATTTAAAAAATAAATAGAAATTAACAAGAATAACTGAAATAAATTAAAAATTTTTACTTTCATAAATCAATTATTTTTATATAGAAATTAAATTTGTACTGCCTAAAATCAAATTGTGCCTATTTACTTAAAACTACTATCGGTGACAATAATTAAGCATTTGAAGCAAATTAAATTAAATTTAAAATATTAAGGAAATGTTTACATGCATTCTTTTAAAGGCTGTATGGCTTTCTAGACGTATATAATACCCCAAGCGTATAACACTCATTATAATGAGTTTTAACACTCATATAATTTAAAGGAGGGAGTAATTATTCCCATTTATGTTGGTAGATGGCTTCTTGTTTTCATATTGAAAATACATATTTTCATGTTTTTTATTTAAATTTGAATTACTGTAATCATATAACAGATTTTTAATATAGAAAACATTATTTAATATACAAACAACTCGTAATTATACATCAAGAGCCAAACTTGCGTTCCATACAACCGTTCCAATTAAGACTATAGACGTAGTATGTGTCATTTAATTCTTTACTATCGTACCAAGGGATTATTGCGCATTGTATTAGTTGAATAGCTTTGCTATCAGATAAAAATCCGCTTTATTCGAGTGAAATACTATATAGTGTATTATATACACTATTTTCTGAATAACAATATCAAAATATTATACAAGAAATTTTTATTTTTTCTTTATTGAAGTGCATGAAATAAGGAAATAAATTGTATAAAATATTAAAAAATCTAAATATTCGAAACTTTTTTATTTCTTTGTATTGAAAAATTTTATATTTCTACCCAACAAGCAATTTTGTAAATTGTATGCTATTTAAGACCGTATCGTAATGATCACACCGTTGTATTCTTAAAAAAAAATATTGCAGTTATAGTAATTTAATGTACAGTAAGTATGTTAAAATCTAAATTCAATCTAAATTCGTCATTATTTTAGGCAACCTATATAATTCAATATGAGTTTGTAATTTCTCCCTAACGGAAATAAGATTTTAATTCAAAAATAATTTCGTTAAAAGGTTACATTGGTTTTACTTTTCATTTATAATTCGTTACAAAGAAAATTGTTGAGAATTTTGCAATATCATAAGTACATATATTTTTCTGCAACAATATTGATGATATTGTCAAGACTATTTTAATTAGGTATAATTCTTTAATATTGTTATAATTATAGAAGTATTTTTATATTAGTGGGGTTTCACAAGCGACAATTATTTTATCGGGACATTAAAATTCTACAAAATTGCTTATTGGGTATTATAATATTATTTTTTGTATAATATGTACCATATTTAAATTTACATTAAAACCAAAATCATTTAAATTTCAAAGGATATTTTATGTGTTTGATTTCTTTTTTGAATTGAAAATTATTTTTAGAATAAAAATGTTTTCTAAAATCAATTCTTCTTAAATAATTTCCAAAATTTAAAAAGAAATGGTAAAATACATACATACTCGTATGTAAATAAGTAAATTTAAAAGGATAAAAATTACATACCTTATACAAACATTTTCAGAAAATAATTTTGTTTTCAAAAAACTTCTCGTATCTTGTGTAATTCAAATATTAAAGAAATTTTTCATTTGTAAAAATGTAATCGTATTTAAACTAATTTAATATAATAAAAAATTGTAACTAATTAAAATTTAATACTTAAGAACTAATTTAATACTATTATATTCAGGAACATACATACATACATATGCATGAATCCATGTAGGTCTAATTAAAAATTTTTATTCACTTTGATCAAAAGAACCTTCATAATAAAGTTGAATTATTTCAAATAAAGTTTTTATTTAATTCAATAATAATAAAAAGGCTCTTATAAAATAATTTTCTCTCAATATAATTAAATATAGAAAAAATTTTAATTGAAAATTTTATTTTTTAAATTTTTTTTTATTTAATAACACACTTACAACATTTCACACAAAAAAACTGAAAACACTAAAATTTTACACTATATTCACATTGAATAGAAAAAAAAAAAACTAAATAGAAAATTTTTTGATATTTTTGACAATTTTTAGAAAATTTTAAAAACTATAATTACTAGATTTGAAAAAAAAAAATTCTAATGTTTTTTGTTTAAATAGAAATTTTCAGCTTTTGAAATTTCCATTTAAATTATAATTAACTGATGTAATTGTTATAAAAAAATATTTTAGAAAAAAAAATATAATGATGTACATTGATTGAAATTTTAAAATACCTTCAAAATTGAAGTAAAAATATATTGTTACAAAATTCAGCAATTCAAATTTATAAGCTGAATTCAGTGTAAATACTGTAAAGTATTTATTGTACACTCCAATATTCACCCCATTAATAAGAGTTAAAAAATTATTATTATCCTCTTAGAAAATGCAAATGTTAACACCAATTTTATTTATTCAGCAATACAATATTAATTTTAATTCCAAATTCGATTTTATTTAGGCAAATATTCAATGATTTGCAGTAACATTGTAATTAATTCAACTTATCATGTTAATGTTAATTATTGCTGAATTTTATTGTGATACAATAGTACTGTTATTCTGATATCAGTAGTCCAAGACATTCCTTCGTTTACAGTTTGTCATATTATGTACATATTATATATTATGAACGTGAGAGAAAAAGAGATGTTTATGTCCCCTATCTATCTACCTATGTCCACTTCTTTCACTATAATTAATAGTTTTTTTTTTTTCTTCTTTTCTTTTAGATCTTAAAATCTAATTGACAACACCTTAAGATGAAATAAAAATGACAGTTATATGAGAATATGATATTAAAAAACACATGCATTTACTTAAATACAAATGTACGTGCATAATTTAATTGTATGAAATTTTAAAAAGTTTTCTCATTAAAATTTGACAACATTAACTGTAAATAACCGCAAAAAAAAAGTTTGTATTTATATTTGGTAGACAAGATATGTCGCATTCAGATAGAGATTTATACAATATTTTTTCGGAAGGATATTATAAATGTAAAAATAAATATGAAAATAAAACATTTATTCCATATGAAAGAGAGGCATACATTGATAGTGGGAATTTCATTACAGTCGAAGGTAAGTTAAAATTAAAATTGCAATGTTTCCCAAGTTGAAAACCTAATTTCAAATTCATTTGTTCTGAATATAAATGTATATATGTATATTTGTTTATTTTTATAGATGAAATACAAGGAAATAATTTAACATGTCCTAGATTATATGATGGTTGGTTATGTTGGCCACCAACAAAAGCAGGAGATCTACCAATTGTTGTATATCAAAATTGTCCACCAAAATTTGAATATGATGTTAGACGTTATGCTCATAAAACGTAAGTGTAGAATTCAGTTTAAATGAAAATATTTGATTTTATTAAAAAAAAAAAAATGAAAGCAAACATAATACATATATAAATATCCATAAAATATAAATTATTATATTGATTATTAAAGGTGTTTTCCAAATGGTACATGGTTTCGACATCCAGGAAGAATTCGTGATGATGATACATGGACAAATTATACTAGATGCGCAGATAAAGAAGATTTAGAGGTGATTAAATCATTTTTATTAATTAAAGTCATATTTCTTAATTAGCTTGAACACACCTGCCTAATTTATTTATTCTTATACCTTTGAAGCATAAGATTTTAAAATTGTAAGTGTCGGGTTTTTCACTTAAATTATAAAATTGAAATGTGTCGTTTTTCGAACCATAGGTTTGAACAATTACTCATTTTTAAATACTTAATATTTTAATACAAGTTTAATCTATAACGTTTCTTTTTTTATCATTTTTAGTTCCGACAATTGATTAATGATCTCTATGTGAAAGGATATATCATATCTTTAATTACTTTAATATTTTCTCTAACTATTTTTCTAAGCTTTAGGTAAGTTTTCATTTTTATAAACATAATTTTAATAATATATTTTTTAAAATTTTCTATAATTAAATGAAATTAATTTAAAACAATCGAAAAAACAAAATTTTATAGAAAATTTTAAAGAGTTGTCAGGAAATATTGTGCTCCATATATTATGTATGATTGATAAAACAAAAAAAAAAGAAAACAAAAATAACTAATTAATTGTTATTTTTTAACTTTAAATCGATGTCTGTAAATATCCTGTATATGAAATTTTTAATATTCCCAATTTTATCACATTTTATTTTAAATTTAATTTTTATACAATTATTTTCAACTATGTTTTGCTTTCTGCTTTTATTATTTTCTGTTTTTTTTTTATTGTTATAACAAATATACAATAATAATCATTTTTCATAAATCGTTATCATTTTTATCACTCCATGTACCCACAAAAATGATTTTATAAAAAAATAAAAATTCATTTTATAAGATTGTTTAATCTCAATTATTTCGTACTTTTATTGTAACAAATCGGATTTTTTGAATAAATTGTTATTAAATATTATGAATATTATTTAATATACTCTACCTTATTATAAAATCATAATAAATTATGTAAATTACGGTATGAGATTGTAAAAATTATGTAAATTACGATATGAGATTGTAAAAAAAGGAAATATTTTTAAATTTACATTACCAAAATTATAGTACGTCAGGCGCACCGTATCTGAATTTCCAATTTCTTGCGTTGTATACAATAATACTTTAATAACAACAACAAAAATGCATATTACTTGCATCGCAGTTCAATTTTGGTATACGGTAATTTTGATTACAATATTAAGATTAAGCATACTAAATTGAGGTACCGTGACTGCAATATCGCGCATATATATTGTATACATATGATTGCTGAATTCAACAATTACAATACCCGTATATAACCTAAATTAGGTTTTAATATACTTTCATAACATCTCTTTAATCTTAATTTTTAATAGATTAATAAAATTTTTGAGCTAGCCAGTAGCTTATTTTTTGTACACATTTTTTTTTCTAAAATTTATTAGACAAACAAACAATAATAATGGTTACATTTTATATTAAGTGCAAAGTTGGTCAAATGGATTAGCTTGCTCATAATTATGGTTAGAAAACATTTTGCACAAATATTCACCAAATATTTTAGAAATTCAAATTAAATATGAGATTAACTTTTTAATTTATTCAATTTGGCTAAAAAAATTTTAAACATCGATTCAAAGTAGAATTTTTGTTTTTTTATCTAAATTAATCTTTTATATACGCACATATTTGAAAAAAGTGAGTACAAATTTCCAAAGGACAACTCTATTAGATTTTCTAAAATTAATACTTTCTTATGAAAGTGATAACAAGAGTCTTTTCAAAATTTATTTGTCAAAATTATTAAAACAAAAAAGAAAGTTGCCATATATATATATTTTTTTTTTATGGAAATTAATCCAAAATTTTATGCAAGTTTAATTGTGTAGCAATGCAATCTTATAAAATGAAATTATATTAGTTTTTTATCTGATTTAATTCTTTATAATTTTTTATTTTCAATTTCTTGTCTTTGTTTTTTAAAATTTAATTTCAATATGTATCTCGGATTTTACTGTTTGGGATTTAAATCTCTAATTTCATAAAAGAATTAAATAAAAATTTGTGGCACTACTAAATACGGCATTTAATGTATATTAAATTGGCAAATCCATATGTTTTGAAATTTATATAAAAATAGGCCCTAAAGATTTTTTTTTAAATTTAATATTGTTTTGGGTTGAAACAATACTTTTAAATTATTATAGAAAAGATTTCCTATACTCCTTTAAAGGAGTTTGGGATCGGCCGAATGAAAGGTAAGCGTATAAAGCTCTCTCGAATATAACTTACTACTTATATAATATACATATATACATATGCACTAATAATTAAAAATATACAACTTATATACAAAGTTTTTTAACCCCTAATTAAAATCCACAATTTAAGTATGCTTATTACAAAAACAATACGCAAATTACATCTAATATTTAAATAGTAACTTTAAATATATTTTAATTATGCCTCATTTTCAAGTATTTATTAAATTTATTTATTTATTTATTTATTAATAAATTTAGTTGATGTTTTATTATTTTATATTAAATATTAAAATACCTGAACCTAACATTCCCTTACCTTTATAATATATTATGTACATAAAATGTCACCTGTTTTCTAAAAATTTAAATAAATGCAAATCATTTCCGAAAACTATAAGTCTTCAGGTGACAAAGTATGTCGTATATGTTAGTTCAAATGTTCTTGTAAATCAATTTTTCTTAAACCTTAATGAATCAAAATTATTTTAAAATTTTAATAACTGTACCCACTATTTATTACAACTGAATTTGGAACTGAAACACATCATTTTCCTATTGTATATGAACAAAACCAAAAGAAAATTCAAAATTTAAAAAAATATGTAACCAACCACCTTTTCCCCACTAAAATATTCAACAAATATAAAAAAAAAAACAAATTAAACATTATAAATAGAAACTAACTAAAGTAAAAATTGTAGAACTACTTCGTATACATTGTATAATTTGTATGTATGTATGTACTTACATATGTATACGTATTATTTGAATAAAAATTTTAATATTATATATTTTAGTTCTTTTGGGAATAACCTTGAATATAATATTATTATTATGTTTTATATTGGTTTTTTATTTATATTGAATCTCATATTATTTTATTTTATTTTATTATTGATTATTGCCTCTGGTTTAGATCATTGAAATGTACACGAATCCGAATTCATATACATTTATTTACATCCTTAGCAATGACTTGTCTTTTATGGATTCTTTGGTATAAATTGGTCGTAGAAAGAATTAACATATTGGAAGAAAATCCGGTAAGAATTTAACAAAAAAAAAAAAAAACTTAAAATTTTTAATTAAAATATTTACTATACCGTAAAATTTGAATATTAATATAGGTATGGTGTGTAATATTACATTTGGCGCAGCAATATTTAATGCTCGTCAACTATTTTTGGATGTTCTGTGAGGGTTTACATCTACATTTAGTACTTGTCGTGGTAAGTAGTTTTTTTTTTTGTCTTTTCTTTTTATTTTCCTTTGAAACTTAGTTACTTTTATTTTACTGAATTAAAATTTTCATAACTAATAACTAATTTTCAAAATTTATTAAAATTAGGTTTTTGTGAAAGACACAATTGTTATGAGATGGTTTATGGCTATTGGTTGGTTGGCACCAATTTTATTTATAACACCATATGGAGCCATAAGAGGCTATTACAGTGAAAATACATTATTGTAAGAAAAATTTTTCTTTTGTTTTTAATATTAAAAAAAATTTTAAATATAATTATTTTTTAGTTGTTGGATGTATAACAGTGATTTACTATGGATATTAACTGTTCCTGTGTGTTTAACTTTATTTATATCTTTTGGTAAATTATTTTTGTATTCCATAACATAATTATTATAATCATCAATTTACCATTTTGTTTAATAATTTCAATAGTGTTTTTAATAAATGTTGTACGCGTTCTTGTCAAAAAATTACATCCATGTTCAGCTCAACCAGCTCCATTAGCTATCAGAAAAGCAGTTAGAGCTACAATAATATTGGTAAATTTTTTATTAAAATTACATATTCATAAATAAAATTAATAAAATAATATTAAAATATATATTTTTTTTATAGGTTCCACTTTTTGGTATACAACACTTTTTGATTCCATATCGGCCAGAACATGGTACACCACTAGAAAAAGCTTATGAATTAATGTCTGTATTTTTAGTTAGTTTACAAGGTGTTTGTGTTAGCTGTTTATTTTGTTTTGCTAATCACGATGTATTATTTGTAATGAGAAATCTTTTAAGTAGAGTTTTTCCTGGTATAATTCAACCACCACCTCCAAGTACGAACACAGGGCAAATAGCTACACAAACTCCTAGTAGAGAATTAGGTGTATAAAATATTAAATAATTTTCATTTCAAATTTTTATTTTTTCAAATTATTTAACAAAAAGTATGCACAATGTTTAAAAAAAAAAAATTAATAGTGTAAAATAATATGTGCCATATAAGCAAAGCTTAATGCTAAAAAAAACCTGAACATAAAATTATTGTATGAAAATTAACTTTATACATGTTAATTGTACCTATTTATATAATTAATTATCGTATTATTTGAGATTTAAATAATTGTTTTATTATTAGAAAATTAATGTTTTTAAAATATCATAATGCAATATGTATTAGAAAAAAAAATTAAACTTTTTAATTGTAAAACAAAAAAAAAAATGATCTCTAACGAGCTTATTATAATAAACAACCAAATTTTCTAAAAAAAAAAATGGAAAAAAAAACGTAATGCATGTTATAAATATTTGTATTTTATATAAATTTTAATTTCCTTTTTATATTTATGTTATAAATCAAATTTAATAAACAAAATTTATTTTGGAAAACCGCTGTTTTAATATAAATTGATATTTTTTTTTTGTTGTATTTTAATTTATAGTAAATAGAAAAACAAACCTAAATCGTAAACGTAAATTGCCTAAATTACAAATTTAAAAATAAAAAATTACTTTAAAATTCTCATTATATAAAAATTAAATATATCAAACTGTAATTGGAATTATTTAAAAAATTCAATAAAACATATTTTTTTTAAATGAATACATATGCATTTGAAAATAAATAAAGCAATTAAGGAGGAAGTAAGAGTTTAGTCAAAATATTTAAAAAAACTTTATATTAACTAAAAAATATGTATGTATATTAATTTTATTTTAACATAACGTATTTTATATATTTTTTGATGAGAATTTTAACATGACCAGACCTTCTAACACCTAATATTGTTAAACAGGAAAGTTAGATATGCAAAATCAAACATAATATAATGTTATATAATCAAATATTAGATAACAGTAATCCGATTTTTTGAGTAAATTATAATACATATAGCGATAGAGGCTGAAAATCCGAAATATGACCTCGAATATTATTGCAAATTTGACTTAAATGCATAGTTATTCCTAATCAAATATGCGAGCAATTGGTATCTTTTCCTTTCTTCTATATCCACGATAAAATCGATAAAAGGAAACATAATACAATCCAATAAAATTTAAGTAATTATGAACTTTAAATGGCTGTTACCAAAGACTATTCAAAACAAATTAAATTTTTAATTTAAAATCCAAAAAATGAAAAACAAAAAAAACAACTGAACTGCCATCTAATATTCTTTTCAAATGAACCTGAAATGTTTACATTATAAAGCAATTTTGTAAACATAAAATGTAAATTAAATCTATATGATTATTATTGTTTGTTTAATTTAAATTAAAACAGAAAAACTCTATTTAAATTTGCTTCATCTTGAAAATTATCTTTTTGTGGGTTATTAATTATTAATGGACATTTGAAATAAAAAATAATATATGTGTACTATATGTATGTATATTTAAATATACATAAATATGAATCTTTTTTCTTAATTGTAAGCAAATTATGGAAACTGTTGCCGCCATAACTTCGGTGTAATTTATAATATTAGATATATATATTTTTTTTCACCTTCATTATCCATTAATATATGACTACAGAACAAATGGTTTTCATTATTTAAGTGAGTGTTATAGTAAGCATATTAATGTTTTTTTTTTAAATTTATTAATAGGTAAACTTGTTTGAAAAATTAGATCATTATACAAGGTTTTGAATTTTCTAAATTCGTTAGATATTAAAAAATTTCCAAAAATATAGTTACATTTAAACTGACAATTACTGTAACAAAAAATTAACTTGTTTTTTATTATAATGAAATAAAATTTTATTAATTTCAAAAAACAAATTATATATGTATACATATATGTATATATACAAATATATATACTTTTATATATAAATTACTTAAATAAAAAATAAACATAGTATTCTTTAAAATTATAAATTTTACTTACACATACGTACATTTTGTACATACGCATACCAAATATCTAACAAAGTTCCGGGGCCTTAATATCAAATTCATCGGCCAAAAAATTTGAATTCATTTCAATTTCGTCATATTATAGTTATTCTTTTTATTATTTAACAAAATTATTTCTTAATATTGTGGATTCATAGTTTGGCATTTTTCTAAAAATGTTATTAAATTTTCACTTTTTTCTATTGCTATTTCATTTGGAAAATTTGCTGCGGTATTCAAAGATATATCAAGAATTATTTTGCATAATTCTTCATTCGGATTTTGAAGATAAATTGAAGATAATTTATTTGCTACCGCCGTATGGAATTTATATGAAGAATTTAAATAATATTTCAAAATATTTAAATAATATAGAACGACGTCATCATCACATATCATATCAATTATCACATGATCCAAATTTGGAATTCCTTCAAGAAGTCTAAAAATTAATTGTAAAGCTTCATATTTTGTTTTTCCGAATTTTTGCAAAAATTTTGTTAAGGTTCTTAAGTAATATAATTTTTCGGTGTAAATAACACAATCTTTAATCATTTTATTTAACATATTCAATTGCTTTTTTTCCAAAAAAATTTCACAAAACACTATAAAATAATGGTGAAATAATTTTTCATGATGTTTAATAAAATTATATGAAGAAATAACATGCTGTTCACCAAATAATAAGACTCTTTCCTTGACTTGTTTTTGGTCTAAAAATGTGTGCCTAAGACGACAATTTGTGCCTTTATCGCAAGAATTTTTCAAATAATCTAAGCATGGTTTGTCAAATACTTGAGCAATTTGAATATTCGCGTTTTTCAATCGTTTATTTACATTATCATTGACTTCAGGTATCGAATCAATTCTATAATTCGGTGGTGGTCTTGCAATGTTCGTAGGATTATTTGGCCAACAAGGACGTATAGGTCGCGGATCATTGTCAATTTCAGTTACACTACTATAACGACCAATTTGAGAATTTATTGGATTTGGTGAATTTTTAGATAATTTTGGTATTTTAAAAATTTTGGTTAAATTTGAATTATCACTTTTCGATTGCGACTTATTTTGCGCTCTAGGAATTCCAAAAATATCAAAATTTGAATAATCCTCTTCTAGAGGAAACTCATCTTTTTCTTTCGATAGAATTTTGTCATTTTTGGAAGTATCAGCTTCAAGCAGCTTCCGATTGGAAATTTCAATATCATCAAATATATTGGTAGAGCTGAATGAAAAATATTTTTAAAAATATAAAATTTATATTAGCAATCTATACATACCAATTGAAGCTTATAGAAGTTTTTTCTTTCGTTTTTGTTTCATCATTCTTTAAATTTTCAGATGTATTCACGCTTGGAATATCAATATCATCAAAAATATTAGGAGAGCTTAAACAAAAACATTTTATTAGAAATTAAATTTATACCAACAAGTTAATACTTACCAACATAAGCTAAGAGTATCGTCATCTGGTTCGAAATCTAATGTCTGATGAGCACTGCTTAAGAAATCATCAATAACATCATGAGGATTAATAATCGAAAAATCTTGTTTCGGCGAATTTTCCTTACGTTCTATTGATTTTCTTGTGTGTTGATTTTCTGAATTTGAACTTAAAACTAAAGATTCATTACTTTTAAAATTACTGGTTATTCCATCGTTTCCAGCAGTGTCTTCCAAACTATTTGTTAAATTGGATTTATGTGTTGAAGATGAGTTGTCTTGAATTTTAGTTTCTTTCTTGTCACTTTCAATTTTCTTCCCTTGAACAACTTCTAATGGTGCGATATCACTATCAATTGGCAAATCATCTAAAAGCGGCATATTTCGGTATTTTACTTTTGCGTTTAAATCGCTTTTAGCTAACTTAATGGGTACTCCACTTTCATCCTCAACATTCTTATTAGGACCTAGAAAATGCAACACATAACAAAATATAAAAAAAAGTTTAATTTCTTAAATTACATTTCACATTAATTATAGTTTTTTCTGTTATAGTTTCCGGAAATCCAGATGTGATATTAGATTGAATTGTTGTACTTATTTCTTCATTACTATTTGATTGATTTGAAATTAAATTCGATGAAGTGCTCAATAAAGATGATAGTGCATCTTCTGGTATAGTACTACGTAAGGTATTAGAGTAAAGGTCCTTAAAAAAAAAAAATAAATTATTTTCTAATAACATTTTTTAAAGTTTAATGCATATTATAATCTTTATTTATACTTCGTTAGAATCGCCTTTCTCATTCTGTGGCAACGATACAATTATAGTACCATTTTCATTTGTTATTATAGAACCAACAGGAAGTCTAATTTCATTAGGAATTTCTAATCGACTCGTTGTATCAATACTCGGATTTTGACAAGCATTTTCATCTGGGTTTTCTAATTGATTTGAGACCATTACACTAGTACAATCCGAAATATTTTCTTCATCTATCTCATTTATCCCATTGAAATTTTCATAAAATTGTTTTAAGTTATTATTCGATCTTGTGTCCTTGTTTATTGCAATGTTTATCTTCGGCTTTGCATTTTGTGCAGGTATGGAACATTTTTTTCGTTTCAAAGCTTTACTGCGTAAATTCGATGTATTCCAAGTCATATCATTATGTTGTTCAATACATTGAGAAAAATTTACTTTCGTTAAATCCACTTCTATAGTTAAAGGCATGTGATTTGACATATATTGCAAAGTAGTTGGTAGTTTTATATTAAGTTTAACACCCTTAGTACTTTGTGAACCCGATTTTACAGATATATTACCTGAAAATTCTTCAGAATTATGTTTGGGCAAGATACTCACAGTATTTGGTGAGCTTGATTCCAATGAAGAATTTGTGGAACTAATGACTGTAACACTACTTGAATTATCAATTTGGTCGCTAAGGTTTGAGATGCTGTTATTTTCATTAATTAAATCTGTGGAATGTTCAGATAAATTACCTTCTGTAAAGTGCGAGATTACATTTTATTTTTTACAGTTAATATTAGAAACCTTACCTATATTTAAAGTCTTTGTTTTGTCCTTATCACCATTTTCCAAGTTTTCCTGATTAAATAAATCTTTGTCTGCTTTTCGTTTATTTTTTGATTTTATATTTTTTAATGTCAAGTTGGTTTTCAAACGCTTAAATCCTTTGTTTTTGTCGTTCAAAATATTTGTTAATTTTACAACAACTCTTTGTTTAAATAATTGTAAATTGGTATTTTCCATCATCTTATTTTTGGTTTTGATAAGCTCACCAAGTGTCTTATTGGAAAACTTGATACCATAGTCAAAGCTATCATGCAAAATTTCATCAATTAAATTGTCGTCCATTGTGATAATGTGATTTTATTCAGTTAAACAAAGTAACAAACATTATATTCTGTAGCGTAAAATTCAAAATTTTTTGATTGGATATTAAAGAAAAAGAATTTACTATTGATTTTGAAAAATTTATATAAAAAAAATGTCTTAATAAAAATTGGCCGCTCTATTTATATTGATAATATCTTAAGTGAAAATATTTAACACAAAGCCCCGTTATTTTTCAAATTTACAGTAAGCTTGACATAACTAAATTTGCTATTTAGGATGCGTTCACATACATAAATTTAAATCAAAAATTCTCGTAGAATTAGAAATTTTTAGAATGTGCACATAATGGTACCTCTAACTGTCAAATATTGAAAATTTGTATACATATATATCATTTTATTTTTTGATTAAAATATTTTTAAAACCTTTTACTTGTACATATTCAATTAACATATACATATTTAATTATATATTATTTTACAATATAAAGTTTTCGCAAAAGTTTTTTTTATCGCTCTAAAATTCTTACCGGCATTTTCTTATTTGAATGGATCATAAATTTATGCTAAGAGGTTGTTATTGTAATATAGGTTTTTTTTATTTTTTGATGATTTTTGAATAAGGTACTTCATTGTTTTTTAAAGACTACTTTTACCGCATTGTTCCTTAAATGTGACACTCTTAGGTTAGTTGATGATTTCAAAACTTTTATAACAACGATGATTAACTTTTTGCATTGTTATTAGAGATTTTTTCTATATTAATTTATATTTGAAATGCTAAAATTCACTCTCTGTAGTTTATATCAATTTGGTAACTCTATAAAATTAATTCGAAAATTCAACTAGTAAAATGTAATATTTTGATATTTCAATTTTTTGAATAAATTTAGAATAAATTTGGTATGAAAATATCAATCAACATATGTTAAAACGCCTCTGATATTTGTAGTTCAAGCTGTTTTAACTGTGGCATAAACGGAATCAAAAAACTTCAATTTCCGCAAGCTGTCAGAATTTACGCCATCAAATTGTCAATTGTGACACCTAATATGAAGATACATATCGAAAAATATGTCACATTAGAAGTTAAAGTTACATCACACATTTTCAAAAGAATTGATTTTTGTGATTAAAAAAATTTTAATTTAATTGATTTTCTTTTTATTGTTTTATGCAATAAATGAAAATTTGGGACATGTTATTCTAATTAAAGGTGCATTTCTAGTATAAAATAAAATGTTTGAAGCAGAACAAGTGAGTATAGTCGTAGTACCTATATATGTATATAATTTATTAAATATTTTTCCGTCAATTTGGAAATTATGCTATTTTTGAATATTGTATATAATTATATTTTATGTAGTTGCATATACTTTTAGAATTACATACATCTATCTTAAATGGTGTTTTTAGTACAAAATTTTTTCATATTTTCGTTATACGATTAATTTTAATTTTACATAGTGAAGTAAATTAAGCACACCATAGGTACACATTAAAAGAAAATCATTGTTGACAATTCACAAATGTTCAAAAATTTATTTGAAAGCATGCACATTTTTTTTTAAGTTTTCTAAACCTCTAAAATTATATTTTTTATTTAATTTCAGTTATACCGATGCCCCTTTTTACACTTCAGTTTTTGAAAAAATTGTAATTTTGTTTTTGCCAAAATCTTTTTTTGGATACATTATTTCACCATTGTTATTTTATAATTTCAATTATATTATCTTGTTTGTTGACCATAAGTTGTTATTGTTAAGAATTTATAAAGAATATTGCTTTTTATTTTACAAAAAAGTTCAAGCTTTAATAATATTTTTGTAAAATATTTTTTGAAAAAAAAAAAATAAATAAGAAAAAAAAAACAAAAATTAAATTAAACATAATTACTAGAAAAATTATTCTAATTTTACATAAAAATTAAAAAAAAAAACAATACCATCGTTAGAAGCTTTTATTTTAAAACCTACATTACTAAATTTTTTACAATATAACAAATACTAATAATGGCGACATATTTAAATCGAACAATATCGATGGTAACTGGTAATGGAACCACGGAATCAAATGGCTCTTCATCTACCCCTTTCGATGCATTAACTGACGACTATCACAATCGTTCATTGCAAAATCCATCTGGTATGGATAAATCACCATTACAGATATTTGTGAAATCTAAAAAGAAAATAAATGATATATACAGTGAAATTGAAGAATATGTTAGAGAAACTACTGGATTTATAGATGGTAAATTTTGTTTAAAATATATGTGCCTTTTTGGAAGGGTATTTTTCATATTTTGATTTTGTAGGACTACCTAAAGAAATTGAAATTGTTGACAAATCAGAACAAGAACTTTTTCAAAGTTATGTCAATAAAGTTTCAGCAATTCGAGAAGTTCTTTGTAGAGATCATATGAAAGTTGCGTTTTTTGGAAGAACATCAAATGGTAAAAGTTCTGTTATTAATGCAATGTTAAGAGAACGTATATTACCAAGTGGTATCGGTCATACAACAAATTGCTTTTGTCAAGTTGAAGGAGTTGATGGAACAGAAGGATATCTCGTTAAAGAAGGATCAGATCAAAAATTTAATATAGCAGTATGTTTAATATAACAAAATTAATCTTTTAAAATATGATAAAATTAATTTTATTATGTACAACACGTTTTCAAAATTTTTTGTCAAATATTTCGTAGATACAAATATTTTTCTTATTTTTATGAAGGATATAAAGCAATTGGCGAATGCGTTATGCCAAGAAAAATTGAGTGAAAGTTCTCTTGTAAAAATATTTTGGCCACGGGAACGTTGCAATTTACTTCGAGATGATGTAGTTTTCTTAGATTCACCAGGTGTTGATGTTTCTCCTAATTTAGATGATTGGATAGATAATCATTGTCTTAATTCGGATGTTTTCGTTTTGGTTTTGAATGCTGAATCCACTATGACACTAGCAGAAAAATCGTTCTTTCATACTGTCTCACAACGTCTGTCAAAGCCAAATATTTTTATTTTAAATAATAGATGGGATGCTTCAGCCAGTGAACCAGAATTTCAAGATTCAGTAAGTGTTAAAAAATTGAATTACATATATTAATAAGTAGACAAGAATTAGAGATATTTCACTAGATTATTTCCCAATTTATTTTCTTTATTTTTTTCTTAACTTATTGCTAATGATACTTTCACAAAGGATTTGAAAAAAGTAAGTAGTTTTAAAAACTGTTTGCTTGAGAAAAAAAATATTAAGCTCATTTGTCAAGAAATATTCCATTACTTATTATTTGGACGCAAAATTAAAAAAAATTCTTTGTTCATTTAGTTAATAATTTACTTATTGTCTTAGAAAGATCTTCCGATGTGTTACAAGATAAAAAATCCTTATTAAAATCATTTTTATTAGGATAGTTTTAGTTGTGTATTTGTAAAGTATCAGCTTTAAAATAAATTATATTAATTTTATTTTACATGTGGATCTGAACTTTAGGTACGATCACAACATCAAGAAAGATGTGTTGACTTTCTTGTTAAGGAGCTAAAAGTTTGCACAGATAAGGAAGCTTCAGAAAGAGTATTTTTCGTATCAGCTCGGGAAACATTACTGGTGAGAATAATTTTTTTACTTTAAATCGTTAAAAATTTGATTAAAAATAATGCTTGCAGGGACGTCTTGAAGAAGCCAAAGGAAATCCAGCACATGTTGGTGCTCTTGCCGAAGGGTTTCAAAATCGTTATTTTGAATTTCAAGACTTTGAACGCAAGTTTGAGGAATGTATTTCAAAAAGTGCTGTCCGTACAAAATTTGAACAACATAGTTCTCGAGGCAAAAATATTGCCGGGGATATGAGGTCTATGTTAGATAATATATATGATCGCGCAAACACATTGCGTAACACAAAATTTGATCAAAAGAAGTTGTTAACTGATAGAATACAAGGAACAGAAAATCAATTAATGACAGTCACAAGAGAAATGAAATTGAAAATACACAATATGGTAGAAGAAGTAGAACAGAAAGTAGCAAAAGCATTAAATGAAGAAATTTGGCGTTTGGGTGTATTAGTCGACGAATTCAACATGCCTTTTCACACAGAACCTTTAGTATTGAATATTTATAAAAAAGAATTAAATTCACATATAGAATCTGGATTGGGATCAAACTTACGAGCTAGATTATCAATGGCTTTAGCAATGAATGTTGAAACAGCACAACGCGAAATGACCGGTAATGTTTTATAAAAATAATATCACTACTTTGTTCATTAATAATATTTTTGTATATTTAGAACGTATGCATGCTTTAGTTCCTTCAGAAAAATTGATTATTCAAACAAAACAGATTGTTGCACGACCACAGCCATTTGAAATGTTATATTCACTTAATTGTCAAAATTTATGTTCCGATTTCCAAGAAGATTTGGAGTTTAAATTTTCTTGGGGTATAACAGCTATGATACAAAGATTCACTGGGAAAGTGAAAGGTCAGAATAAAAAACAAGGTGCATTGCAATATTGCAGACAAAACAGTGTAAGTTGATTATTTAATTGCGTTACATAATTAAAATAATTATATAACGCAATTCTTTATATTTATATGTCTTTATTTAAAACTTTTGATATTTTAAAATATTTTAACAGACACAAAATATGCTTTCACCAATTGGTAATGGGCCAGAAACTCCTTTATGTATAATTCCATCGCAGGGTGGAGGAATAACTCAAGATCAAATTTCAATGATATCTCGCTTTGCCGTTGCGTCTATAGGCTCTCAAGGAACCATGGGGGGGCTTTTAGTTGCTGGAATTGTAAGTATAAGTTTTTTATTGCTTCAAAGTCCACCTTAAAAATTTTGATCACATTAGTGGTTTTCAATTAGGTTCCTATAAGAAATACTAAAGATATGTTCTATAATTAAAACTTGCTCCTCTATTATTAGTAACGAACGTGACATTAATTAAATTATGAAATTGAAAAATCCTGGGACTTTGCTCAAGTATATAATAAATATATTTTTTTTTCTAATTTAGCTTTTAAAAACAATTGGATGGCGAGTTTTAGTTGGAATAGGTGCTCTTTATGGTTGTGTATATTTGTATGAACGATTATCTTGGACTAATTCCGCTAAGGAAAGAACATTTAAAGGCCAGTATATAAGACATGCCACAAAAAAATTAAAAATGATTGTTGATTTGACATCAGCTAATTGCAGTCACCAAGTGCAACAGTAAGTCTTGAATTTTTAAATAATTTTTAAATAAATTAATAAATAAAAAGGAAATTTTTAAAAAAATTTTTCAAATCAAATTTAGAGAGTTATCCAGCACATTTGCTCGTTTATGCCGTGTTGTTGACACAGCCACCACGGAAATGAATGAAGAACTCAAAGAACTTGAAAATGCTTTATCTGTTTTGGAATCAAATCAAAAACAAATTAAATTGCTTAGAAATAAAGCTAATTATATACAAAATGAATTGGAAATATTTGAAAATAATTATATAAAAACAAACTGATATTGATAATAAATAGTGGCTATAGTTTTAAAATATTTAAAAATTATAATAAAAAGAATTTTTTTGAAACTCATTGTATTTATTATTAAAAAATTAAAATAATTATCAAAAACAACTTTAATTTTGAAATTAATATGAATATTCATAAGGATGCTATGTCAAATGTATAATGCTGATTACAAGATCAAATTATTACCACAAGGTAACTAATAGGGTAATTGGTAAGCCAATTTGTTAAAAAAGATTAGTATAAATAATCTTAATGAAAGAACTACAATTTTTCTCCACATACTGTAATGTCGAAATGTGTATTAAAGAAGTTCTTATTTGTTAAGAATTTCATATTGCTATATGAAATATGAAGTTTTAAAGCTCATAAATATCCCATTTGAAAAGGCATGATCCGGAACTATGTAATCATATATCAACATAATTGTGTAAAAAATGTGAAAAAACAACAACTTGAATTAAAATCAAAAAATTATAATTGTGCAAAATGAAGGTAATATAATTACTAGTAAATACAATGTGAATTTATTATGCATGGAATCATTAACCCATTGGTTTATTATTATTAAGTACAGTGAATATCATTATGACGAATTTAAGTAAGATAAATGCCAATAATTGCGCTAGTTTTAATCAACTTAATTGCATTTATGACGAAAATTACAATATAAATACAATTTTACAAATATAAAAATGTCAATGACCAGCAAATTATCATTGTATTAGAGTTCAATTTTAAAAGCTAAAATTCAAACAAACAAAATCATTTAGTACGAATTTTTATACCGGTTAAGTAACAGAAATCGGATAAATATGAGATTTACTATAATTATTTTATTAGTCTATACATTTTATTTAAATATATTTATTTCAGCTATTAACTTAAAAAAAGATAATGGAATTGTTTATAAAGTTCCAAGTACAACACAATATGCATATAATTCAAATAACTTTGGTGATGGAATGTTGTTTAGAAGTAAATATTAAACTTCACATATTAAATATTTTAATTTTATATTATTATTTATATCTATATATATTTTTTTTAATAGAATTAGAGTGCTCAATGAAAATGTCATGCAGTGTTTTGCCAATTTATGAACCGAATACAAATATGCGTCTTGAAAATCATGTTACATTTATTGTTTAAACTCAAATCAAAGTTAAAATATCTTTGTATAATTTTTAAAATAAAATAATTTTGGTAAAAAATTTTTTTATGGGTTTATTATGAGTATATGATGTGGAGCGTTTGATATTCTTAAATTTTGTCCAATTCTACAGGTATTTATTGTAATAAATATATCATTTCAATGTTTTAGAAAAATAAGAAATTCAAAAATATCTGAAATTTAATAAAACAACAATTTCATTTTTAAAACAATAAAGTGTCTTTTTTTTTTATATTTTACTCTTGCACAATATTCTATAAAACTAAACTTTGAATTAATTTAAAAAAAATATATAATTATATGTATGTATATAAGAAAACATTTTTTTAATTAACAAATAATTAATGAACATTATTGCAATTATTAGTAACTTCGCTACAAAAAAAAAAAAATTTGTATTCAAATTTATTTTGGATATTAATACAACCCAAAATTATGAATTAAAAATAGTTAAAAGAAATATTAGTAGGTAGGTAGGTCCCTAAATGAAAATAAAACAAAAATCTGTAGACAGTCGTCATCGTCTTTGTTAATTTTTCAAAATTACAAATAGTTTTTTATTATTCCTCACTAGGTATATATTTTGTAAAAAAAAAAAAAAAATTGTTTCAATAATAATTTGCAAAAAATAAATATAATTTATTTTATTTATTTAAAATTAAGATTATTATTTGCTTTAAATACAAATTAATCATTCCATTTAAAATTACATAATACATATTGCATCCCAACTAATAATAAGAAAACAAACTAATTCAAATTACAATACAATACATTTTATTGATTACAAAATAATTGGGGTTTTTTTTAGAATACTTTCAGAATGATCAGGTCTCTATTGCAACAATTACTTTTATTTTGGATTCTTCAATTGGATTAGAATATTTCATTAATGATACAATAGGGCCTAGGATTTATTTAACAAATTTGAAATTGCTTTATAACTTTTACTTTATGCATTGAAAAAATTGTATGTACAACTTTTCAAAATTCTAAATTTTGAAAAATTTTATTTAAATAATTTTTATTATGGGTATAAAAAAAAAAGAATTATTTTCACTTATTTTATATAAAACTTTTTTTTCTTTAATTTTATTTTGTAATCATTTTAAAATATAAGTTGTTTTAGTATCATTTACAATTAATAAATGTAAACAATATGTATGTGATTGCAATATCCCTTGCAATTTGTGTAAAATTTCTTCATTTTTGTATTGTATTTTCTTTTCCTAAACGTGTATACCAAATGTGTTATATTCCTTAAGTACTAATAATAAATCATATTATACATTTAATTAATATTTAAAATAATCAAAAAAAAAATAGAGTTATTTAGTTGGAAGCTGAATAAACATAATATATTCTTTTTTCTTGTTTTATTTTTAAATATGATTTAATTTATTAATTAAGTATATACTATAATCGACGATACTTACAACGGCAACTTAATAATTATAATAATAAATATTAGTAGTGTAAAAATTTACAAATAATTCTTTAGTTTTTTTATTTTTCAAAGCCAAAAATTTCATTATTAAAAAGTTTTCAAGCCAATCATACCGCGATAATGGCAGAACAACGATTTGACGATAGATTGAATTCAATTTCTGATCAAATAGGAGGGGAGTTTATTGGGTAATATCCATGAAATTAATTTCGGCCCAAATATGTTAAATTGGCGTGTTAAATTTTTCTCTTTTACACATTAAGACATAATTAAAATTTAAAGAATTTAATTTTGAAAACAAAAAATTTGGATTGATCATTTATTTAAACATTTTTTTTTATTTACCTTTATATATTGCTTAGATTTTAAAATTAAATGATAAACGATGATTATCAGTACAAGATGCCGTACAAAGTATTTTCGCCTGTAGTCTAAATCTAAAACTCTTGTTTTATTTTTTTTTTTAGAAAAAATATATATGTATGTACGTATATAAATTTAATTTTTAAATGAATAAAATTTTTAGTTTTTACAATTCATGACATATCAGATTTACTTAAAAAAAATTTAAAAACTTTAAATAGTATGTATAATTTTTTTTTTTTCATATTTTTTAAAATTTTTAACCTTTACTCAGTTTGCTTTTTGATATTAATATTGAAGGTTTTTATATTATTTTTTATGCTAAATTGCTAAAAACAAAATTTTTTTTACACAAATTAATGCACATTATGTATATGATATTGTAAATTATTTATTTCTTTTTCTTTTTTCATTTAAAAACATTGATTTATTAATTTTAAGTGAGTTTTTTTGAAATAGTTTTAGAAAATCTCAATAAATCCTTATTTAATTTAGTGTTAATCTAGATCTTTTAGTTACATATTTACACATTTTATCATGATCAAAATTTTCGTAAATTTTTCTTTCGAGTCTAAAAATTAAAAAATATTATTAATATTTTTTTATTTAATTTTTTTTTTTTTTGTTTGTAAAAATTCCTACAAAGTTTAAAGAACCAACAAATACTCCTTTTTCTTTAAATACTACAAAACACTTAATTTATATATTGTATAATATATATAAATAATTGCGCTTAAATTATATTAAAAGTTATTATTATTTTTATATTTGTTTTTTTCTTTATAAAATATAAAAATTATTTTTATAGGGTATAAAAAGTTATAAAAATCTCCTATTTCTTAAAAAGGAATCGGTTAAAAGTTTTATTTGAAAAATCTCTTGTTTTGTTAACATCGTTTTTTATTTTTAGTTCATTTTGTTTTATATTATTTTCTTGTTTATATTTTCAGACTAATAATTAATATTTTTTCATATTAATTTTTAAATTTTTTTTATTTTTTTTTTTTTATTTATATGTATATATATTTAAATGAGCAAAAAATATTGTTAAATATTCAAATTTTTTAATATGAATGCCAATGGAAAAAAAAACTATTTTTCCGGCTTTTTAATTTATTAAAATTAAATGAATTTCTTTTAAGTTTTATGATCTATAATTTTTTTATTGAATTGAATTTAGAATTTGTATTTATTAATTAAAGATTTTTCAATAGGTATATATGAAAAAAAATAAGCAAAATTTTTTACTTATATTATGTTTAAGATTATTATTAAAAAAATATTTTTTAATTTAAAGTTTTAATAATATTAACATATTTTTTTTTTTATATATAAAAATACATAGGGCGTCTACCAAAATGCAAATTTTTTAACATCTAGTATACATTCAACTTTCTACTAAGCATTTCGGTCATTTTCTAAAGTTAGAATTTACTTTTGTTTTGCATTTTGGTAAGGCAACAATACTTAAACATTTTCAACAAATCTTTTTTAAATCTTTAACAAATTTTATTATTAAGTATTTAGGAAAAAAAAACAAAAAATTAGTCTTACTGTTGCCGAATTTTCATTTTTATTCAAAATGTTCAAACCTCTAAGTATATAACATGTAAATTATTACATTTTCAAAAACAATATTATTAAATAAAAATGTAATAAAACATAAATTTTCAATAACGAAAGATAAAATAAGAAAAAAATTATTGAAAAAAAAAAATAATAAAATAGGACCAATAGCGTGCAAATAATATTATATTTTTTTTGTTGTGTTAATCTATATTATATGTGTATTAATGATAAAAATTACTCTACCCAAAAATAACAACAATCTAGTTGCTTGGTTTTAATAATACACTATAATAGAAAGAATAATATGTTATTATCTTATTACATATTATATAACTAATTATTAAGATTTAAACGTACATATAATTAAAAACATTTAATAATTCACAAAATATCTATAGAACAATAATGTTAAAATAATTTTAAGAGTTAAAAATATTTTTTTTTTACAATTACAATTAAAACATTTTCTCTGTTTACTTTTGTTTCCAGTTTTTGACTTATTGCGATAAAAAAAAAAAAATAAAATTTCAATTGAATTTTAAGCATCATATATGTATTTTATAAAATTTAGAAAATTTCTTCACATCAAATAAAATAACTGAGCTTCTTTCATTATTTTTTTATTGTTTTCCATGTTTGTTGTTAATTAAATAGAAAATAAAAAAAAAAAAACATTTTTCCCTAACAATTTATTTTTATTAAACTTTTACATATGTATCGTTGCTGCCGTATATCTTGCTTCCCCACGTCGCCATGACCATTGAGTTGGACGATACTGTATAAAAAAATTTATAGCATTAATTATACAATAAATTGTGTTTAATTACAAAAATAATTCTAATTAAAATTTTATTTGAGCCTTACAAATGGTTACAAATGTATTGATGGATAAACAAACAAAATATTTTTTTTTTGTATAAAAAATAAAATTTTTAAAATGCTTAAAAATATTAATTTTTCAAATGTATATACAGTGGTAACAATAAAAGGGCTATAAGGACAGTAAAGAGATATAAAATTAAAATAAATTCAATTAAGAATTTCTAAAAAGCTAAATTTTTTAAACTTTCATAACACTAAATACACTTGCATGCAATTTTTTCAAAAAAAAAAAAAATTAGTTGTTGTGAACCGAAATCGGAAGTATGTAATTAAAAATGTGAAACATTATTAACTACTAATTTAATTAACTTGAACGAGTGCGGTGATAAGTTTACATACACAAATGTAAGATCATGTTTAAATTTTCAATTAAATGGGATTTTTATTATGATATTCAAATACAACTTGAGACAATATTATAGGAACAAGCAAATATTTATTTTATTCTCATTTTAATATACAGAATAAAATATTTACACAAACCTTTAAATTTTTAGTCTGCGTGTTAAGAAAAATAAGAGGAAATATAAAATTTATTTTTTCGTACATTTTTTTTTTACTGTTTATGATAAATACTAATTTTGTAAAATAAATATTTAAACAAGTGTTTGTACACGAAAAAGAGCTTTTCTTACCTGTATTAAAAGCTGTCCGCTCTTTGTATGAGGATTTCGATATGCATATAACATCCAGATGAGAATAGTCATTATTAAACAGATTGGAATCATTAAACCTAATGCTAATCCAACATTACTTTTATTTTCATCTTCTTTGGCTGTCATAGACATACTGTTATCGCTGATAATATTTTTTCCAACAAAATGTTCATTAGTCATATTTCGATTTAAAGTATCATATCTTGAACTATTATTTTCTAATTCTCCTGAATGATTTATTTCAATTGATGTAGATGCATCATTACCTTTTGTACCTTTTGGAGGACATGAGCCCGCTTCTTTTATTATACTTCTATCGCAACCTAATATAAAAAAAAATACAATTTGAATTGATTTCATTTTGAAATTAAAGTCATATTACCTTTTTGCAACCAGTCTTGTCGTTTTCTATCAGTTCCTGTTGAACATTTATTTAAACCTGGACACCATGCACACTAAATTTAAATTAAACCATTATATAATCAAAAGAAAAAACAACTCTGAATGTATTAATACTTACACCAAAAGTTGTGTTGTGGTTAGTACAAGACTCGCAATCGGTGTACTCTAAACAAGTTGGTAAAGCTCTTAAATATATAATTGTATTATTTTGTATATCTTGTTCATTAAAGTTAACCCTATGGTATTCATAAATAGTTTTACGGCGGGCGACTATTGGAAATAAGAAATTACGAATAAAATATTTTTTAACCAACGTACTTATTTTACTTACAAAATATAACTTTATCAATAATATAGGCATCTGAAAGGCCGACTTTAACAGGATGTTTATCATCTTGTATAGCTTCAATTTTAATCGGCATTTTAAAATATGTAAATACTATGTCACCGTTATCATGTAACGTGGCACTAAATGTAAATTGCCCAGCTTCAGGTCTATCTTGTAATGAAACATTTTCCCATAAAACGCTAAAAGCAGTACCTAAAACCATATAAATATTTATGCTTAAATTTTTTTTTCATATATTAAGTTAAATGTGTATATTTATACCATTATCATCATATCGTACAAAAGAATCGTTCAAAAGGCTTGTATCAAAATTAGCCATAAGTGGAGCAATGTATTGCGTTGCAGCTAGCCATGAATGGACATATTCGCCTGTATATAAGAAACCTCCAGTTGCAACTGTTATATTTCTTACTGGATGACCGTAGAATGGGAAATCAAATTTCAGTTGAACTGTCTATTATTAATAAGAAAAAAATTTCAATTTATAATAATAATTTACAATGTATAATAATAATTTACAATTGCTCTCCGGTGCGAGCTAGATAACATATGATTTGGATTAATAATCTTGAGAGCATCCCAAGCTTCGCTAACAGCTGTTTCATTTACTATTTGCGTGCTATTGTAGTAAATATGGTTTTCCTAAAAAATTTTTACAAAGTAAATAAACAGGAACAATAAAATATTCAAAATAAATCAACTTATAATTTTAAAGTGTTTACCTCTTTATATGTGAAATTCTGTTTTTGTATAAATTCACGAGTTTTGTTTTCTGATATATCGACAGTATTAAAAAAATCATCGAGAGTTAATAAAACTTTTTTTACGGCAGTATTTTTTTTCGTCGGTGTAGCTGGCATTGGTTCCGACACAATCGTATCTTTACGTTGTCCAGTTCCATTAACACCTAATAATGGAGCATTTGTAGGTGAATTTGTAAGTGTTATTTTTGAAGGTTCTGGTTGAGGAGGATTTTCGATTTTAACTGCTTCCGGTGTTGAAAGAACATTAAGTTTTTCTGCTGGAACTGCTTGTACCGATACTTCTTCTTTTTGTAATGTTGGAGCTGCTGTTGATGTTACCAATTGTTTTGAAATAACTATTGTTTGTGGAGGCGGTTGCCACTGACTTTGTCCTTGTGTAAAGGTTGTTGCATTTGAAATATTCTCTTGGACATTTTGATATGATGTTTCTGTTTCTCTTTTATTTCGAAAATGTATGTTATCTATTTTAACATATGGTAAATTTGAATCTATTACGTATTGATTGATATCTATTTTCGGGAAAGTTATTATTTCAAAAATAAAAAAAATTATTATATTGGTAGATACACATTATAAAAAATTATTTATTATAAAATTATCAGAAAAGAAAATACTAAATTTTTATGTTTGTACAATATGTTTTGCTATTATGATAAACAGCAAAAAGTCAGGTTTTGCTATTATGAAAAATATTTGAAGCGATGTAAAAGCAAAATATCACTTTAAAGAATTATTGATTTAACATTTATAATAATCGATGGCACTTGATTGAATTTTTTTAATGTCTTATTAATTTATTCAATAGGAAAAGGCAATATGTTTAAGTTACATAAAATACTTATTTGTCTAGCTAGCTTTACATTTTAATTATCTATTTAAGGAACGTAATCTGCCTTTCGACATGCAAAGGAAAAATATTTCAAGAAGTTGGATTTTTTTTAATTGGTACTAAAGACGAAAAGAATGGAAAGACGAAAACTTGTAATTTGCTATGAAAATTTTATTAAATTTCTGCTTAATATTTATCCCGCTATATCTATTAAACTATCATCCCGCTATAAGAGAAATTCATAAAAATCTAAAAATTATTAATAAATTTTAATAAAAATATAAAATTGCTAATAATGCTCTGTTGCTAATAATAACGATAAGTTAAGATTAAATAAATAATTTGAAGACGCATTAAAGAAGTAGCTACATAAATAAATACATTTCTATCTACGTCATTTTCTAACATATGCACATATGTGAGTTAGAAAATTTTTTACAGAAAGCCAGTATAGTAGGTCTTAATTAATTTTTTTTTTTTTGTAATTTCTACAAATTTCTATATTAAAAGCAATTAGCTCACTTTCATCAAGCTTATTTTCTTTATTTTATACGATCTTTGTATATAGGTTTCAAATTTGTAATATTTTTCCCCGTTTTCTTTTTTTTTTCTTTTAATTGAGAAAAAATTTCCCTTAAGTTGACCTTATTTTTTTTTTTATAAAAAATTTTTTTTCTCTTTTGTTGTAACAAAACTGCAATTTTTTAAATTATATTTGAAATAAAACTTTAATTTTAATGGTAAATTAAATCACAATTTTAGAAATAATTTTCTATATGTAGTACATACTTCTTTTTATGATTGCATTACAGGTTATCCCATTTTCAATAAAATCATTTAAAGAAAAAACAAAAACATTCAAGGAAATATTTATAAAAATCTTAAGCAACACTTTGGTTATTTTAATTACTTCACTTACTTTCTTCAAATGCAATTGAACTATCGGTAATTAAATTAATTATAATATATAATACAAATAATATCTTCAATCTATCACAAGCACCTGCCATTTTTGAATTAAAAATTATAACATTTGAACACGAAATGATGTCGTCAATACTTTACTTCTTGACTTTATTGAGCCGAAAATGAATGAGAATACTCTTTTAACTTTAACTCAAAATACAATTAGACAGTTCTGTCATTAGCTTTGAAAATAAATGTCAAAGATTTCATTATATTTTTTTGCTATAATTTAATTAATATTTCGGAAATTCCATGTGAAAAAACGAGTACACAATAATGTTTCAATTTCTTAATTTCAATAATCGAATTTGTTTTTGTTTTACTTTATTTGACCCCCAACAAACTTTTAACGGAAATTAAGATAACGAATATTCGCCGTCACTATTTTTGACTGCCAAGAAAAATTTTTTGTGAAGTTGACAAGTTTATATTTATATTTTTGTCAAATTTTTACTTCCGTGACAATATTCTGCCTTATAGAAATTTTGGAACTCAAAGTTTCAATGAGATTAGATTTATTAAGTAGAAAAAGAAAGCAAAATTTAATTACTAAATATTTTTGATTTAAATCAGTTAAATGCGATAACGCACTTTTGCGTTTGCAATATTAAACTGAATCGAATTCGGTGCTTCACTGATAACCGTCATATCAATTGATTGCAATCAAAGATATAATTATTTTGTAATGTATTTTTAAAATCTTTGTTGCAATCAAATGAAATGTGCAAATTTGTGTCTTTACAAAATTTATTTGGCCGTTTGGTTAAGGACTATCTACAACTATCACTATCACTACTGTTTTCTCCCTTCTGGAGACAAAAATTAAAATATAACTCAGTTAAATTTTAATAGATAATAATAGATTTTAAAACTAGTTTTAAAATAACTCAATTAAGGCGAGACAAATATTTGAATGTAAAAACAATGAAACCTTTAATAAACAAATGTTGTTATTAAATTTTTAAATGTTGTTTAAATATTAGGCAAAGGGAATGAAACTTTGTTCACCATTGATATTAAAACAAATAAAGATGTTGTACATATTTGCTGAACAGAGAATATTTTCACAGAATTCAATATTACAGCACATTTTTTGACATTTTTGCTTAAATAAATTCAACATTGTTCATGTAATATTGCTCTAGCAAACATAACGATGTGTTATTAACATTAATAATTTATATTAGCCGCGTTAAGTGTTTATTGTTAATGCATAGTTATAAGCATTAGTGCGTCAAAAAATTTAAATTTTTTTCCACTCTTCTCCATCTACGTAAGTTATAGAGCAACATAAGCAAATTTCCATATTTAACGTTTTTTTTATCGAAATATGCGTCAACGTTTAATTTAGTACAATGCTTTAATGTCGCATTACTTTTATACATAACATGTTTTTTTGCGATAGGCGAGGCCGCTGAAGATTAATGTTTATTGGGTTAAGTAATATTTCTCATGTGAACGTTTTTTGTTAACTAAATTACTAAACTAAACCCATAAAACAAAAATTTTTTTGAGAAACTTAATAGTTCGTATTCATAGTTTATTTTATTAGCTTTTTTTTATGGATTTTCCAAATTTCGTAAAATATAATTAAAATGAAAATTTAAGTGCTAATTTGTAAATATGAATCAAATTTCTAATTTAAAAGTGGATGCAATGTCTATTAAAATGTCATGAAAATGTAAATTTTTTTTTAAGTACTCTTGTGCGAGAAAAGAAAAGAAAAAAAGGAGAACAGACGACAAAAAGTGAAATTTTTTTCGCCTTGTGATTGTCAAAATTAATTAAAAAAAATTTATTAAATTTATTTTAAATCTTATATATATATGAACTCTTTTAAAATAATTTTATCGTAAAACAAAAGGTATGTTTTGTTAAGATATATTTGAGAAATAGAATTATTGATACATGGTGATCAATGTAATTTGGGTGTAGTCTGAAGGGTGTTGAAAATTCTCGGGCAAAATTTTGCTGAAAATCTACAAAATTTTATTATAAATAAATTTTATTATAAAAATCAATTTTGAAATATTGAAAATCGGTTTTTGTTTTTGAAAAACTTATGTTGAAATTTAAATAAAGTTTTAAAAATCAATTCCATGTCTATTAGAAATAACGATTATTGTTTCAGTATTAATTAATTTCTTCTATATCATTATGATATGAATTTTTCTACCCATTCATTTAGTCATATGGCATTAGGAGTAATTTTATTTAAAAAAATGTATTGAATTTCAGCATAAATCAAATATAAAAAAATTTACAAAACATTTATTAGAATTCTAAATATTTTCAAAAATTGTTATACATATGTAATTGAAATAATGTAGGTACCCTACCCGTCTATTTCAATACTTTTAATAAAATTTATTTATGATGATTTTTTTTATGATGAAAATTTTTGACTAATATAAAAAAAAGAGGAGCGAAAAAGTGCTCTGTCTTTGTTCTATTTAAAAGTGTTAGAAAAATTAAATTTATTTTCAATACTACAGATAAATGAAACAATAATAATGCCTGCTTCTGGTCGACCTGGTAGTCTCAAAGATCCAGAAATAGCGGAATTATTTAATAAACATGATCCGGAAAAAATATTTGAAGATCTTCGCGAAATTGGCCATGGTTCCTTTGGAGCAGTGTACTATGCCCGGTGTAATCTTACCAAAGAAATTGTCGCAATTAAAAAAATGTCTTATGCAGGCAAACAAAGCCTTGAAAAGTGGCAGGATATTCTAAAAGAAATAAGGTATTCAGTAACCTATCTACTTATTAAAAAAAATGTATATACTAATTAAGCATTCAATTTTTGTTTCTTTCATCAATTGTCATAAATAGATTCCTTAGACAATTAAAGCACTCAAACACAATAGAATATAAAGGATGCTATCTTAGAGAAAGTACAGCATGGTTAGTAATGGAATATTGCGTTGGATCTGCATCTGATATTATAGAAGTTCATAAAATGCCTTTACATGAAGAAGAAATTTCTGCCATTTGCGAAGGGTGTTTGTCAGGATTAAGCTATTTACATAGTTTAGGACGAATTCATAGAGATATAAAAGCAGGAAATATTCTTCTAACTGAACAAGGAATAGTAAAATTAGCAGATTTTGGAAGCGCTGCTATCAAATGTCCTGCTAACAGTTTTGTTGGTACACCTTACTGGATGGCACCAGAAGTTATATTAGCAATGGATGAAGGTCAATATGATGGCAAAGTTGACGTTTGGTCATTAGGCATAACTTGCATTGAATTAGCAGAAAGAAAACCTCCTTATTTTAATATGAATGCTATGTCAGCTCTATATCATATTGCTCAAAATGATTCACCATCATTACAAGTAATGTTATTATTTAATAATTGAGAGTAAAATATTTCTGAATGATTTTTTTTTATTTAGGGAGAAGATTGGTCTGATACATTTAGGCATTTTGTAGAATCTTGTTTGAAAAAATCTCCTAGTGATAGGCCAACTTCTTTAGAGTTGTTAAAACACACATATTTAACACGCCAACGATCAAATAATGTTCTTATAGAATTAATAGCACGTACCAAGGCTGCTGTTAGAGAACTAGATAACTTGAATTATAGAAAAATGAAAAAAATTCTAATGATAGATTCATGTGAAACTGAAAGTGCAATTGGTGATGCGAGCGATACTCAAGATGAACAAGCTGGTGCTGATAGTAGTAAGAGTAATAGCATTACATCAGAACATTCAATCCAATCTGTCGGAGTATCTGCGGCCAGTAGTCAAGTAATAATTGTACTATTTATTAATTTTATAAAATTCCTTCAAAAATTAAAAAAAAAATTTCTTTTTCTTTGATTTCGAAAATTTCAGAGCTCATCGTCAAATTCAATTCCGCCTGGCATTAACTCCAGTGGCAATATGCACGGCCTTCCGTCTCAACATGGTGGTATCAATTACCAAAATTCACCAAATTCGCCTAACATAAATATGTACCAAAATATGGTTAATATAAATGCTATGGCTGCAGCAGCTGGTACTGGTGCTATATCACGAAATTCATCACGTCATAGAAATTTACCACCTTTACCAAATGTCATGCATAATATGAATAATAATGTAACTCCAACAAATTCAACTTCAATTGTTCCAGCACCCACAACTTCAGCATCATCAACGATTACAAACAATTCATCTGGAAGTTCTACCACCAGTTTTATGTCGAGCACTAATAGTATGCTAGGACACTTACAGCAACCAGGTTATTTGTCATCTCCAGCAGCAAGAGAAGCCGTTTTAGCTGCTGCAGCTAGCTCAACACATCATGCTAATTCGAATGCAATGCACGAGCACGGAACAAATAATTTCGCTACAATTCGAACAACTAGCATTGTTACAAAACAACAAAAGGAACATAGTAAAGTAAGATTGTTTATTTTTTCAACAATATTTTAGATACAAGTTTTTTTAATATAAGTTTTTCTTATATAAATCTCTTTTTTTCCTTATTTTTTTTTTTAAAACTTTTGTGAGATCAGCAGTATAATAGTTTAAATATAACAATTAGAACAAACAACGCCAACGTAATTATTTGTCATAAATTTCTATTTCGAAGCTATAGTTATTAATTTACAATGTATTTTTAATTTGTTTTTGATAGGATTATTATCCTTGTTCACCATTATGCGGAAGTAAAACTTATTGTAATATTTCATAGCAACGTAAAATTTTATGCATAAAATTAGAGGTTTAAATTTTTTTCTAAAAACAATTTTAGTGTCACTTAAACATCATGGATGTACCTATGCATATTTATTTCTGCCGACGTATAATCAGGAAAAATACTATGTAAGAAGAAAATTTTATATTTTCTTAATTCTTACATTTTAAGTAGCATTTCATTTTTGTCATTATGTCAATTGATAATTGATCGTTTTCATTTAAATTTCTTCAAGTTCACTTTGAGCTGAAATAATTTAAATCTTAATGGAAAATTTAATTATCTGTAGGAAAATCTTGGAAAAAAATTCATGAATGGTAAAGTAAAAGTACATTTCCAAATTATAAATTACTTTCAAATACTAATTTTGTCATCTTTATATATTAAGTTATCTTTTCGTCATGAATATATACATTTTTAGTTGTTTTATTAATTTTTGTAGTTTCTTTTATTTTTTTTTAGTTTTTATGATTTTTAATTTATATTTTTATATTGTTTTTCCTATACATTACAAAGAAGTTAAAAGTATTTAAAATCTGGTAAGAGCCAAAAAAAAAATTTTCTAAATTTATTAGCAGAGCAACTTGAAAGCAGTCATACTGCAGAATATTAAATTTGTACAGACTTATTATGTATCACATCTGATTGTTATTATAGTTTCTTATAATATTTTAAACATACATTACTGCCATGATCTCATTTCAATTTCATGAAAATTATTTTGTTATCTTTATATTTTTATTATAAAGATATTGTTAGTAATATATTAATATAATTGACTAAAATAATTTTTTAAAATAAAATTCAAATACGAGTAAATTTTTAATCGTTTTTGACAAGGAGGAGATGCATGAGCAAATGTCTGGGTACAAAAGAATGCGTCGCGAACATCAAAGTGCTTTACTTAAACTGGAAGAAAAATGTAAAGTTGAAATGGAAGCACATAAAGCTTGCCTTGATAAAGAATATGAAAATTTATTAAATACATTTTCAAAGGATTTGGAAAAATTATCGGTAATTTAAAGTTGAAAAATATTTTTAAATTACTGTTTTAGAAAATAACTGAAATACATAATTTTATTTAGACAAAACATCAGCAAGAATTAGAGCGGCGTGCTAAACAAAATTTGGCTTCCGAAAAGAAATTACATAAAGAAATTACTTTAAAACAAGAAAATGAGCGCAAAGCATTTGATATGCACCAAAAACGAGAATATAAAATGAATAAGGAGAGATGGAAGCGTGAATTGTCAATGGATGATTCAACTCCTAAAAGGCAACGAGATTTAACGTTACAAACGCAAAAGGAGGATTTGAAAAAAGCAGAAGCTGAAGAAGAGGAACGTTTGATACGCGTTCATAAATATTATCTTCAACTGGAAATGAGAAAATTCAAAAGAAAACGAATGTTATTGCTACATGAATTGCAAAGTCAATTATTGGGAGATGTGAGTGTTAATTTTTATTGTATTCATTTTTTTTTTACTTTGTTATTCTGTTTTTCCTTTTCAGGAATTGAGCAAGAAACAGCAACAATTAGAACAAGCGCATTCAATGTTATTAAAGCATCATGAAAAAACTCAGGAATTAGAATATAAGCAGTTAAAAAGTGTTCATAATCTAAGGGAGGAGCAAGTATGTTTAATTTTTAATTGTCAAAAATCGAGTTTGAGCATTTTTTGTCCTTCAATTTTAGATATCTAAACAACATTCAACAGAGCTTCAGAACCAACAAAATTATATGGAAGCAGCCAAAAAAGAGTTAATAAGAAGACACGCCTTAGAACTTAAACAACAGCCAAAGAGTTTGAAAGTAATATATATAAAATTTCATTTGAATTAACGTATTAAACATTCTTAATTTTAATAAATTTAGCAAAAGGAGCTACAAATTCGAAAACAATTTCGGGAAACTTGCAAAACGCAAACACGACAATATAAGGCATTAAAAGCGCAAATTTTGCAAACTACACCAAAAGAACATCAGAAGGGTGTAATAAAACAATTAAAAGATGAGAAGAAAAGAAAATTAGCTTTACTGGGCGAACAGGTACTTTAATATAGAAATTAAAAATTATTTTTGTGAAATTAAAATTTACCATTTCTATTAAATTTAAAAATTTTTTTTGCAGTATGAACAAAGTATTGCTGATATGCATTGTAAACAAACATTACGTTTAGATGAAAGTCAAGAAATTGAAGATCAGCAATTGCAAGAGCGATTAAAATATGAATTAGATATTTTAATGAACTATCAAAGTAAAAATAAGAGTCAAGCTCAAGCACAACGTGACCGAGAGCGCAAAGAATTGGAGGATCGTGTTAATATACGCAGGTCATTATTACAAAGCAAGGTATGAAAATTTATTTGATTTTAAATACATATATTTTCTTTTGATATTTTAATACACATTTATATGTATATTCTAATTCCGATGATTCTGTCATTATTCACTAGAAACAATAGTGTTGTTCTTTTTTGTTTCAATCAACCTGAATTTTCATTAATATATTTTTTTTGAAAATTAATAATAAACGATGTGTAACAAAAATTTCTTTTTTAAAGATGGAAGCCGAATTACAACAATTCAATCATGAAAGTGCCGAAAGAGCACGATTATTACAAGAAAAACAACAGAAAGAAGCAGAAGCCTTTGACGACGAATCATTATCTTTAGGATTCAGGTAAAATAAAATTTCTTAAATTAATTAAATAATAAATTCCTTATAATAAAACCTTATTAAAAAAAGGATAACAAAATTCATATGTATTTTATTTTCTTTTAAAGTTCTCTTGAAATTAGCGAAGAATCAAAAGAACCTTTTCCAGATCTAACTGGAAGTTTATCTGGTTCTATGATAAGTTTAGCACATAGTCAATCTTCAACTGGTTTTCCATATACTCCTGGGTCTCTATAGCACACTTATACATCACGACGTTCTGTAACCACTCTTAGTGGTACAACAAAATCCACATCATCATCACTTTCATCAACATTAACTAAATCAACATCGGTAAAAAGGAAACATAATTTAAATATTAATCAAAATTTATTGACATCTACAGTTGTTGAAGAAAATCACAATAAAAATGGACAATGCAGTGATGATAGTAATGAAGAAAATTTAAGAAGAATGTCTATTTCTTCTATGTAAGTTTAAATAGTTTATTAAATTTGAAGATTTGATAAAAACAAAAAATAAAATAGGCAAAGTATAAGTGTAAACAAATTTATTACATAATAATATATTCATTTAAAATTTAAACATATATTTATGTATATTCATATACATATATAAGGAAGAAAAATTAAGAAGAAAAAAAAAAATATAAAATTTTCTTAGAAAATGATTTAATTTCTATAAAAAAAAAAGAAAGAAAAAAGTCAATAAAAATTTACCAGCTAAAAAATTTATAATATAAATACTACAAAAATTTTACCTATAAACACACACACACACTTATTCAATCCATATTTAATTATTAATTAAAAAATAAAATAAATTCATATTTGCTATGGCATAAACTCTAAAATCTAGAATAATAAAGCAGTATATAAATATATATGAGTATGTATAATATATATAATATATATATAATATATATAAATATAATATATATATATATTATATTTATATAACATTATAAACGTATTCGAGCATAAATATTAAATATTACATAACAAACTTTTTTAAGCAAAGCAAATCAAACACAAAATATTTTCATAATTTCTTCTTTTCTTTTTTTTTTTTCAAAAACACAAATAATAACATTAATAACAAAAGAATAATTTAATAAAATAATTAAAAAAAAAATCAAATAAAAATGGATAAATATTCATAATGTAGCATTTTTTAGATATAAATAAATAAAATATTCAAAAAAAAAAAAAACAAAAAAAAAAAAAATAGCATTAACATTTTATATTTGACTACTCTTGTAGATACCCAAAATAAATGGAATATAAATTTTATGTATATTCAAAATATCTGGCAAAAAATAAACATTTTTGGACAAAAAATTTAACAAAAAAAACAACTTGGAAAATATTAACTAAGTATATAATAATATAATTCTGCAGGAATTCAATTCCGGAAAAAAAATAATAAAGAATTAAATTTATGTATAAAAAAAAAAATAATATAAAAAGAAAGAAAGCAATTAAATTAAAAAATATTAAAGTGAAAAACACAACAACTCTCTCATAATTAAAATTGTGTAGTTGTTATTTATTTTGTATTTAGGCAATTTATTATTTTTTTTTTCTTTAATTAAATTAAAATCTGTTTTGTTAATTTTATATCACTATATCTTAATTATAAAATAAACTTCATTGTTATTATAAAAAAAAATGATAGAAATTAATTTTTAATTTTAATTAAAAAAATTATTATTAATAAACTATATATATATATATTTATATATGTAATGTAATACATAATTGATTGTAAATGATTGTAATTTACTGATTTTATTATTAAATTTTCTTTTATTAATTAATTTTGCTGTTGTGCAAAAAAAAAAAAATTTTGTTTATTTTTGTTTCACCTTTTTTTATGTAAATTAAAATACAAAAATAAATAAAATAAGAATAAAAAAAAAAAAGTAAAACTATGTTAATACAAATATAAAAAAAAATTTTAATTTATCTCCAATTTTATTTTGTTTTATTAAATTTAATATAAAATTATTCTTAAGTTCCACAAATGTAATAATATCATAATTAAATTCAATTTAATCCAAAATTGATTTTTATAAATTTAAACTTTAATACACCGTAGTATTTTCTTAGATAAATCACATAATGTGATAGGATATTATTGATTATTGTGATTTTAGTACATAGACTCCAATTTCAAACCAATGATTCGATTTTAAAAAATTCCATCATGCTTTTATAATATCATATCATAATGATGTGTGTGCATTCTTAATAAATACGGGTATTGATAAAGTACACGAATTAAATTTGAAAAAATTATAAATGTATTACTGCATTGTGAAACTATAGATTAATATATTTGAATAGTTTCAGGTTCAAAATATAAAATTAATATTAAAAATTATTTTTTTTTTTTTTGTTAGAATTGCAAAATTAATAAAATTAAAAAGAATAGATAATCATTGACATTCTGTTAAATGCATCACTTGAATTGATAGGATTATTATTCACAATAAAATTTTTGTAATCTCTACAATAATATAGATTTTTAATATTAAAATTCTAAAATAAAAATCTTAAAACTTTTTAAATAATTTTTCATTATCGCAAGTTTGTACGTCTAACAGAGTGATATGATTAAATGTGACGGTCTTCTTTATTTTTTAATTATTTTAATATTTTAAATACAAAACAATTTTATCTCGAAACAACCACCATAAAATATATAATTTGTTTTTTTTTAAGTATATAGTGCAACACTTCTTCTAATAAATTTAAAAAAGAAAACAAAAAATACGAAAAAAAATTTGATATTAATTTGTGTTGTCTGTCTAGTGATAAATGAAAAATTTGAAAGTGTTAAAAAAAAAATTAATTAATTAATTACACTTTTATTTCACGTTAAAAATATCCTAATTATTTAAAAAAGTTTTTTAGTTTATTAAGTATATACATATATTATATATTTTAAGACTCAATTTGTTTTTTTTTTTTTTTTTTTTAAATTAAATCAAAAACATTATTACTAATAATTATAAAAACATTTGAAAAAAACAAAAATAATTATATTAAATAGATAAAGATATAAAATTTCAAAACAGTAAAGAACTAAATTATTTTTTAGTAAGAAAATTCAAAATAAGAAATGAAAAGAAATTATTAATAAAAGTAAAAAAAAATAAATAAATAAAAATTAAAAAATTATAATGAGAATAGTTGAAACACAAAAGTTAAAATTATTGAAATTAATAAAAAAGAAAAATGGAACACTAATAATTTTTATATATATATATATATATATATATAAATAACATTCATTTAAAAGTATTCGTAATTCCATAATAATTAGTTTTTAGTATTAATTTATATATAATATAATAAACACAATATATTATTTAGGAAATGTACCATGTATATTATTGAAAAACAAAAAAAAAAAAAAACACAAACAAAACATTGTATGAATAATTAAAATAACAGAAAGAAAAAAAAATTAAATAAATAAATGTATTTTTCCTATATAATAATAATAATAATAATAATATAAATAATAATTAAAATTATATTAAAAATAGAGATTTTCATTATATACCTTAAAAAAAGCTTTGTGAAAAAAATTAAAATAAATTTTTTTTAGTTTGTTTTAATTTACAATATTTTCAATTTTTTTTTTTTTTTTTTAGTATTATTCAAATTTATTAATGAAATCAAGAAGAACATCACTCTTCACAATTTAAAAAAAAAAAATTTATATATAATTAATACTTACTTTTTTTTTCTTGTTTTTTTACAATAAATTTTAAATTATTAATTTTTATTGTTGTTTTCAACAGCTTATCCACAATTTATTTAAATATAAAAGCAAAAATCATTTATCATTTTGTATCTTGACAAAAAATAATATTTTTTTTTTTTTTTATAATCTATAAAATAATTTATATATGTGCATTTTATTTAAAATTTTTTTTTTATATTTTTGTATGTGTAAATTTTTTCTATTTATTTCAATTTATTATTGTGTTTTTTTTTTTACAAAATTTTGAAATTAAGTTTATAATATTTTATTTACTGTTTTTTTTTTTATATAAGAAACGTTGTAAACATTTTTAGACCAATTTTACAATGGGTTTTAGGCATTTATAATTGTCATACAAATTTTGTTTAAATTATTAAAGAATGTATTTCTAAAAAAATATTCTTTTTAATTTAAATAATAATTTTTTTTCTATGACCATAATTTAATTCCATATATTTTTTGGTCGGAGTTATTTTTTCAATAACTAATTTACAAATTTAAAAAAAATTCCACTAAATTACTTTTTAAATTATTTTTTAGTAAGGTGTGAAATTCTGCTTTTAGTGTAATAATACAATCGCTTGCAAATTACCATTTTCAATTAATTTGAAAATATTTATTTGTTAAGGTTTATTTTTTTTTTTTAATTAATTCTTAATTAATCATTTCTATTTATTGTAAAGATTAAAAATAATATTAATTTTTAATCATTTCATATATTTTTATTTTATTTAGAATAAAAATAAAATCATAGAATTAATTTACACATACAAGAATTTGAATATATTTCAAATAATAAAATAATCATTTTTGTATCACAGCGATTAAAAACTTTAAAAAAATCTAAAAAATCAAAAAAAAAAAAAATTCATAAAAACCATAACAAAAAAATAATAAAAAATATAAATCATTAACAATTATAAAATAAATTAGACAAAATATTTCTAAAAATTATTTTTTATTTCATGATTACACACATAAATTAGTTGTATTTTAATGCATTTGAAATTCAACTATAAATCTAAAAAAATTATACTTTAAACTGTAAATAATTCGCATTAGTAGAATTAATTATCTAATATAAATAAATAAAGAAAAAAGTTTTAAAAAATAATTATCCAAAAGTAAGAAATAAAAATAAATAAAAAATGAATGAAAAAAAAAAAATAATTAATTATAACTATTCAATTTGGAAAATAAAAAAAAATGTATTAATATGAAAAGTTTTTGTTAATAAAAATTTTTTTTTTGTGTTTTTATATATACAAAAAAAAAAAAAAAAACAAAAAAAAAAAACAAAAAAAAAAAAAAATGAAAAAATAATAACCCAAAATAAAATAGTAAAAAAATTTAACTAAATTTTTTAATTGTTTTTAATTAAAAAAAAATTAAATTTTAGTGCGGAATTTGGATCTTTAGTGAACCGCACTTATATTATCCTCCATTTACAAAATGAAATTAAAGTGTCAATAATATTGTGAATGTCGTTGCAATCTTGATAGTATTATGAAAGTCTAACCTGCTAACTTTTGCCATACCAGATTTTTCTGCTAGATTTTGAATGCGAAATTTGCTTAAGCACATTGTTATTCTTTCCAATCATAAAACCAATGTTTTTTTTTTTTTTTTTAATAAATGCGAAATATTTATTTTAAGAAATCTTTAGAAAATAATTTAACATTATGCATATATACATATAATAATATAATTTACTCTAAACATTATAAATTTTTTTAAGCTAAAATATTTAATACAGAATATTTTTTTTTTTATATTTTCTCTATAAAAGAATCAAGGAATGTATTTTTATTAATTATTTTAGTTGTTGCTATTACAAATTCAACATTAGCTTCTTTATCTTTTGATAAAAATCTTAATGCAGCTATTTCAGCAAATGTACAACCTCCTACAAAAAATACTAAAATTATTCTCGGAGAATCTGATAGTGATTTTTCACTAGTATATGATGCTCTTCGGCCACCAATTCCTATTAGAGGAGCTTGAAAATCTTCAAAAGATGCACATGGTAATATATTGAGAACATTTTTAACTGAATGCCATCCATTAGATTTTAAAATTTGCTCTACAATTCGAATTGTCAATGGTGCATAAAAACTATGAACATAACTTATATCCATTGGTTCAACTTCTTTGACCTCTTCAACGGTTAAGTTTAAAGTCTAATAATTATGGTATAATGTAACAAGTAAATATTATTAATATTATGCCAAAAACGTTTACCTTTTTTAAAACTGCGTAAGGCCTAGTTTCACCCTGTAGTTTAAAAAGTCCGGCTTTTTGTAAATTACTAAGAGTCAAAAGAGTATTAATTCCATACACTTGAACGAGTTCTCTTTTATAGTAGTCAAAAATCTAAAAGGCACTTATTTTTTTTTATAAAATTTAAAACATAAATTATTAAAAAAAGAACCTTTGGTTTAAATCCAGATGAAGCAACACATTGCATGCATATTAAACGAATTACTCTTCTAATATCGGCTTTCTTTGCAATAAGATCTTCAATATAACTGCTTGTCTTATCTGTATTGATACAGCTCATAAATTCTTGTTCGACCGTTAAATCATCTAAGAAATCACTTGAATCAGCTATATCTTTTATCATTTCACCCAGCGTTGTGTGAATAGCAACTGATTGTTTTTTTGCCATCATATATGGTAATTTTTCAACAAACTCTTTCATTTCTTGAATTGATTTATCATTCTGTTTTTGTTCTAATTGTTTACTGATTAGCTTTGCCTGCTCAGAAAGTATTAAACCAATTGCATTAAAATTTTTATCTCTTAAATCAGAAAATAATTCCTCTGCGGAATTCAAAACAACTATTTTTTCATCTTGATTAACTGCCTGAAATCGTCCTTCGTTAGATTTTGAAAATTTTTCCATGGGTAAACGGATGACACCTTGCTTAATATCATAATTTTCATCAATTAATCCTTCATAAGTTAATTGAGTGGCTAATACACTCATTATATCAATTGTTCGATCAAATATAATCATTTGATCTATTGAACCTTTATCGGAGTTGAACATTGATTTTTCTTCTCGCCCTAAAGTTTTTGCGTATTCCCAAACTTTTTCTGCATAGTTACCTTTTCCATATATTTTTGGTATTCTTCCGTAAACCTTTTGTAAATTTACAAGACCTAGAGCAGCTTCGTATAAACATGTAGGATCTTCGTCAATAAGTAAATCGCGAAATGCATATTTTTGTTCCATAGATATTAAATCTTTGTCTAGAGGGAAAAATTCCCAACTCAATTCACCAACATGTGTAAACGTGCCATAAACATCCTTATTTATTAATCGCTTTTCGCAAAATTCGGAACGTCTAGGAAGAAAATACAAATAATAGTCTTTACGAGATCCCCTATATTTGCGATCATCACTATTTTCGCTTAACAAATTTTCAGCTATATAATCCATCATCTTAACTTCTGGTCTCGTTATAAATATAATATTTTTAACATCTAAATATGGCAAAGGTCCAGACCGAATTGGAATTTGCTTTATCACCTGCTGCTGTTTAAGTAAAGCTGATTCTATCATCAAACTCATCAGACAATCGATATTATTTTCCAGATCTAAAACAATAGCTTTGGAGCCTTCAGCTCTCTCCAAAAGTTCAATAAAGTCTTTGTTAGCATTTTCTTGTAAAAGAGCTAAGTTTACTCTATATCCAGTTAAGTGAGAGAATATTGGCATTGTTTATGTTAAAATCACTGTTGAAAAAAATTAATATTAAATATTATTTATTTTTTTTAGATGCTGCTTTTAAAAAAATGGTAAAATAAAATTGAAATGAGCTTAGTATTTATTTTTACAAAAATTTATTAATAAAGTTGGTTAATGCATCAATATTTACAAATTTTTTACTTCATCACAAAACTGACGTCTATTTAGCTAAAGATAAAAAAATTTGCAATGCAATATGCATGCATTTGGAAAGTAAGAGTAGCCGTAGTATTATAAAAGTAATGAACAATACGTCGTGTAAACTGAAATTATAGTAAAATAAATAATTCCTCTGGAGTATGTTTAGATAAGTCGATATTGAATAAAGATTAAAGTTGCAGTTGTTACTGCATTTTTTTCCTTTCCTTACTTATAATAAGAACATTTCCAATAAAGAGTAAAATTTTCCTTATGATGAGTAAAATTTCCCTCTTGAAGAGTAAAATCTGTCAAATTGTATTATTCTTATTTGCACATTTAAAGACAGCACTGTATATTGAGCTATTCAACTTCATCAAGTAACGTAAGAGGCGCGACAGTAGAATTTAAATCAAATCTCAACCCAATAAACCGAATTGTTTTGATTTTTATATTTTTTTTTTCCTAAAATCAAAACGAAAATAAAGAGAAATTAAATTTTAGTTGTAACTGCTTGTAATAATTCTTTCAATTACATTTGTGATTTAAAATTTTTATAATGGCGAAGGGATTGGAAACGTTAAAAAGACTTATGAATGAATCAAAGTTTGTGAAGTAATAGGAAAACTTGAAAATTTACAATATCAATACTTTTTGTAACATTTGTTTCTTTTTAGCGAAAATTCTACACCAGAAAATATTTTTCATACTTTTCAAAAAGCAAAAGATAAGACTTATCATACAAAATTAGTGACTATCATAAAAATTCTATCAAAAAATCAACCTAATGGAAAAGAGCATCTGGCTGAATTCTGCGAGCTGTTAGAAAGGTATGTGGTAAATTTCAATTATGAAAAACATATTTAGTGTACGGAAAATCTTTTAGGAAGCCACCTATGTACTGCCTTTTTAATTTTTTAAACCATTATTCAGAAACAAAAATAACTTCGCCTTCCATTGTAAGTTCATCTAAGCAAGTGGAAGTTTCAAAGATTAGCACACCAAATGTGTCAAATGTAAGGCAATTTGAACTACTTATGTATTATTGCATTTGGTAAATTTTTTTAAATTTTAGATTAAAGAAAGGATTGTTCAAGCTGCTTCTTCAACTATTACCAAAAATTCAACAGGAGAACAATTTGGTCTGGGTTACACATTTGCATCATCTAATAAAAATCAGACTGATACTGTACTGTGGGAAATGCCAAAATTAGATGTTTTGCAATTTCAACAAATTAATATCTCAGCCGTCCCTAAAGTCAGTCAAGAAACTCTTTTATTATATGATCTCATATATTGTTTGAGTGGTATGCAAGGAACATATATAGTACCCGAAGAAACTATTGAAGGCGATAAAGTGGAAATAAGGTTTAAAGTTTCGGACCAAATTGACAGCTCTCTTAGAAATTTGGCACAAGAAATTTTGCCTTTGGCATCTTACTTCTTATGTGTTCAAAAATTTATTTTAGAAGCATCTGTATTAGATTGCGGCCAGGTCTTACAAGCTTTAGGAGCTGCTTTACGCGCATTATCGAATGATTACTATGTAAAAACAGAAAAAAATCATATTCTTTGTAAAAGTATATAATAATATATCTCTTTTAGCTTCTTTTATCTCAACTTGAATCAGAATTATCAAACGGTAATTTAACACTTTATAATTTATATTATTATACCCGTCCAACTTTTGATGCAATGGAAGTAATCGCTGGTGTTTTATCGGAAATAATCATGGTAAAATTGCCTTATTATATACAATAATTTTAAAGAAAAATAACTTTGGTTTTTAGAATAAATTAAAAGGTGGTCGTGTTTTAACTCTTCTGTATGATAAAATTAATTGTTTAACTGGAAGAGAAGATTCACAAAAAATATTGATAAGTTTGACACAAAGTGTATCTGTCCCTTACATGGATATATTGCAACTATGGATTCAAAAAGGTGTTATAAACGACCCTCAGCAAGAATTTTTAGTTGAAGATAATGAAGTTATTCGTCGCGAAGAATTGCCCGAGAATTATTCTGCTGATTATTGGGAAAAAAGGTATTTTGTTGATTACTTTAAATGAAATTGATATTTAATTTAAATATCTTGCAGATATACGTTAAGAAGGGAGAGAATACCAAGTTTCTTAGAAAAAGTATCAGATGTTATTTTACGTACTGGAAAATATTTAAATGTTATTAGGCAATGCGGGAAAAAAGTAACTTTACCACAAGCAATCAGTTTACAATTTTCTCCAACAAATAATAATTATATTAATGTTATACAAAATGCATATCATTTTGCTTCTAAAAATTTGCTTGAAGTCTTACTTAAAGAAAATGATTTAATGGGACATTTAATGTCAGTTAAGCGCTATCTTTTGCTATATCAGGGAGATTTTATAACGCAATTTATGGATGCTTGTGAAGATGAATTAGCTAAAAATGTTGATAAGGTGCTTCCAATGAAATTAGAAAATTTATTGGGGCTTACATTACGTTTATCTTCCGCCAAAAATGATCCGTATAAAGATGATTGGCATTGCGAACTTCTAATTAATGATTTAGATACTCAAATAACTAAAATAATGATAAAAAAAGAAGGTTTTAATATAATAAAGTTTCCTTTCTAATTAATTTTTAAAAATTTTCCTTTTAGATTATTGGAAATCTCATGATAGTTTAAATTTGGTTGGATTAGAGTGTTTTGCTTTTCGTTATGAAGTGAAATGGCCTGTTTCATTAGTTTTAAATCATATTGCCATATCAAAATACCAAATGCTATTTAGACAATTGTTTTATTGCAAACATGTAGAACGTCAATTATGCAAGTGAGTTAATATTCCTTAAATTTTAATATTTAAATACATATTGAAAGTTATTACTTCAAAGAATATGGAAGGAAAACAGTAGTGCTAAAAAATTTCCCTCAAGTGTTGCAGAACAATATAGATCTGCATTTACTTTACGCCAAAGAATGATGAATGCCGTTCAAAACATTGAATATTATATGATGATTGAAGTTATTGAACCAAATTGGCATGTCTTTATTGAAAAAATGAATAATGTGAGTTTTAATTTTAAAAAATGGAATATCAAATTTTTATTTCAATAAATAACTAATTTTTGTATATTATTTTAAGGTGGAAAATGTTGATGAAGTTTTAAATGTACATCAAGATTTTCTTGATCAGTGCATCAGAAATTGTATGCTGACATATCCGCACGTTTTAAGATCTATAATAAAATTATGTAAAATTTGCTTGAATTTTTGTGAATTTATACAAGTAAGTAATTTGTTTATTAAATAAACAATTTTTAGAACTTTTACATCGCTTAATTAGATTTAAAAAGAAACTTTTTACAACATGTGCACAAATATTTTGTAAAGCTGTTAATTTTAATACTTAAATTTACTCCTCTTTTTCTATTTTCAAACATACGAAATTTTTATTTTGGGAAATGTGGCTGCAATTAAATTTTTTTGCTTTTAAAATTTTGAACACAAAAACAAAACAATTTTTTTCTTAATTTATAATTTTAATTTTTTTTTAATTAATTAAAAATATAAAAATTTACCAGAAGAATCAGCGTCATTTTTTTGATGCTGAATTAAAATCAATGATATGTGAAGATGAAGAAGAATCTGAATCGGAAAAAGAAACTTCTACTCAGTTACAGGTAGAAAGTTATGATTTTAAAACCTTTGTGTTACAAATTGTAATGCACATATCAATTTATTTCATTCATTTTAATTGTTGCAAAAATATAAAAAAAAAAAACAAAAAAAAAAAAAATCATTTGTTTTTTGAAAATACAAAATATTTTTTTTTTTTAAATCATTTCCATAATAGCCAGTTATCACAAATAATTCGGTTCGTTTTATTAATTTTAAATTTTAATTTAGACTGAATCATCTTTGGCTCCTTCTGATACATTTTCTGAAAGGGTAAAACGTTTTGATCTTGAATTTACTGGATTATTAATTGGACTATTAAAGCAAATAAATGAAGTTGCTACTGAAAATTCTGCAGATCGTTGCATTAATTTAGTACATCGGTAACTTTTTTTTTGATATTTTAAAAATAATATTTAATATTAAAAAAAAAAACAACTTAAAATTTTAGCATAAATTTTAACTCATTTTACAATGAACAAATGGAAAAATTGTGTGCCAAAGATGCTATGCCTTCCCATCATTAATTTTTTTTTTTTTAAAAAATAAGATTAAAAACAAATATTTATTTTTCCTTAGATTATAATAAAGTTTTCTTGCCTAATAATAAGTCTATTTTAATTTTTTATTAAAATTGATTGTTTATAAATATATGAATTTTATAATTTTAATTCCTAACAACTTGAAATTATGTAATTCAATAAAAAAAAATATATATATGAAAATTGTGGTTTAAGTATTTTTTATATAATTTTTCGATAACCATTTCTGATTTAATTTTTCTAAAATTATTAATTGTAAGGAGGAACTACGAGCATGAATTACATAATGTGTTTTGGTGTCATGGCTTAAAAATATTTAAAAAAATATTTTGGTTTTGTAAATTAAAAAATTTTCATTTAATGTATGGGTTTAAGCTCTCTTCCTAATGATTTATTTTAGTTTATTTTAGGATATTATGTTTTATTTATTTATTGTTATTTTTAATAAATAATACCATGCATTCGCAGGGCCAATAACTTTTTATATCTGATATTCTTGTAAAATTGTCTTTGTGTTTGTAAATTCACATAATTTGTAAAATTTCATTTGATTCTAGTGGTTTCTTATTTACCATTTATACATGAGAACTGTAAAATTTGATAAAATTAAAGAAAGCTTAACAATAAATTCTAAGTAGTAAAGTAAAATTAGAAGGTGGTGCATTATAATTTAATACAATTAAAAAGTAAATTAAATGCATTCGCTCGATAAATTATTTTTTCAATAATTTTAATTGAAATTAAAACTTATTTATTCATCAAACTCTTATGAAATATATAAAAATGATCACGAGTGTTATTCATTAAAGCCATGAGTTTTTCTAAATGTGAACTAACAAGGTAACAATAATGTAATTAAATAAACTATACAATATAGGATTCGTTACTTAAAAAAAATTATATTGTATGTACCTAGTAGGTATTCTAAAAATGTTACGCCTTTGGTAAACGTTAGGTCATACGTTTATCTAAAAAAAATATTTATTTTGTAGAAATTATGTTAAAATTTCTATTTGTAATTTTTGATTGTTAACAAAAAAAAAAAATGTGTTTTTTGTTATCGCTAAAAAAATCCTTTTTGAAAAAAAAAACATTCATAAAGAAATGTGATAATAAAAGAAAAATTTTCATAGACTTTTGTTAAATAGAGAATTTATTTTCATTCAAGGATATTTTTCTGCCTTTTTTTTTTTGTAAGCATAATAAAAAAAAAATTTGATTAAGGACACGTGCAAACACATTTGACTCTATAACCAACTTCTTTCTGTGTATTTTTATTTATTTTTAAATGTTAAAGGCGGAAATATAAGGAGTACAAAATATAATAAATGATAATAAAAATAAGAGATAGTTAATTGTAGCAGACTAATGTAAATATTTTGAAATAAATTGGCATGATTCCAAATTATAATTGTATACATTTATGTGCACAGTTGGATATTTCAAATTTGGGAAATTTCATATAGTACTTACTTTTTGTATTTTTTCTTTCAAAGTTAATCTTGAGTAAGGTAATTTTAATAGAGGAAGTGGTTAGCTTTTTTTATATAAAAATATAGATAGATACAATTAATTTACAATTATATGTAAATATATGTTGTATAGAAGAAATCATGATCCTGGACATTTATAAGCTGTGAACAATTATAATAATATGCAAATAAATGCATGTACATTAAATTTTAAGTAAAAATTTTAATTTTATGGAATAGGGTAAATATAAATTTAAATTAATAACTGGTTAGAGCTATATATACAATTATGATATAGAAGAAATTGTAAAATTCATAAAAGCAGTTTTCTACAGTCACGAGTTTCATATATCAGCTTATTAATTTACAGGTTTAGAAGCAAAACTATGTCTATGAGTGTATAATTAATTTTCAATTTTATCTTTAAATTTTTTAATATTCTTTTTAATTAAAAATATTTTTTTAATACAATTTTCATTTCATCACACATTCTTATGTGCAATTAAATGCAAGTATGTATAATGGTACTTTAATAGGTAAGGTTCTCTATGTGCATAACTCTGGTAGATTTTTAAAAATAGAATCTTTAAATTCTTCAAGTTTTTGCAGTTTTTACAAGTTTTTCAAGTGAGATAAGGCTCTGTACTTCTCCTATAACATGCAACTTTAACATAAAATTCAATGTAAAAGAAAAATAATCTTGAATATATTTACCATTCACTCTCTACTCTACCAATTACTAACTCTGAATAAAAAAAATTAATAAAAAAAAAAAAAAAAACACATTCATGCATACTGAATAATTTCCAAATCCATATATCGTTCGTCCTTTCATATTATTCTATTTTATCATTTTATTATCGTTTCATTTCTAGAGACTAATTTTCTTCTTTTATCATTTTTTAACATTTTTTCTAGTTTTTTTTTTTTTTTATTTCAAAATTATAGGGTGGCAGATTGCACATATACACTTTGTTCATATATACATATATACATCTACTCATGGTTTTTGCATTATCCTGTATATTAAATTGTAAGTATGTGCACATATATAAAAAAAAAAATATCCAATAAGTGTTTTAGCACTAGGATAAACATCCTTTTTTTTTTTAAGTTTCAAAAACAATTTTTGCTATTAGAATATAAAACAATGATTGACTGACTATAAGGATAGCGAAAAATTTTAGTATATACATGGTACATTGAAAAATGTTTGATAAAATTATAGTGGATTCGATTTTATTTCTAAATTTTAAAATTTTAAATGGGAATTTGCGAATTGCCCTGCATGAATCCTTTTATAAGTTTTGAAATAAGAATTTTGAGATCATGAATTCGTTCTAAATGAATATTGCATACTGTGAGGCGCGACATTAATTTCTTTTCAAAAAAATATTATGGACGCACACGGAAAAGTCTTTTAGAAATTTAGTGATTTTGTGGTGGAAGAAGCTTATATATTTATTTAAAACATAAAAAATTAAAATGGAATTTTTCTACTATACAGGAACTCAATAAAGCCACATTTCTCAAATATTGCTAGTCTCCGAAAATTTCGGATTACAGTTTGCATTATGTATAGTTTAAAATGCAGTTTTTTTTTTTTGCATTACATGTTCACAAGTTTTCGGTTAGACTTAAAGACCATAATTCTGAAAATTGACATTTAAAATTTTTTTTTTTAATTTTTTCTTACAATTATAGATGGCATTTTAGTGCATTCCCGAATTCATTTGTAAAATTTTCAAAACACCTTGTAAAACAAAAAAGAAAAAAAAAATTTTTTTTTTTACATTTTTTCTTTTTTTACATCACATTTGTTATAAGAATCAAGTGGTACGCCCTCCTGATGTTTTGTGTACTACAAAACTATTGTCAATGAAATTTTGTCAATCTATGTAAAATTCTCTCTTTCTCTATATTCTGTGATAGGAATAAATTTATTTTTTTTTTTTTTTTGTAGATTTTCGTATAAATGTACTCGTATATGGAATGCCTTTAGGCGCACATATGTCAGCTTTTGATATATAAAATAAGAATGAAAAGTGTTTATAGAAAATTTAAAATGATATAAAATATATACATACATACATATTGTATATACAATTATAGAAATATACTGATATATGAGTATAATACCTACATATATATAAAAAATATTCAATGTACCAAAAATTGAATGTGTTATACGCAATATATAGAAAAAGGAAAAAGGCGCCCTGATGATGTGTAACAATTTTTTTTTTTTTTGGTTTTTTTTTTTATAATTACAACCAAAAAGTACAATTGAAATCTCATCCATTTAAAATAATATTAATATGAAGAGGAAATTGGAAACTTTTTGAATGATTTTTAAGAGGTCTTTATCAACACGCATTTAAAAAAAAAAAAATAAGGAAAAAGAAAAACCTCGAACTAAACAGGACATTAAAAATTACAATTCCATATAATTTGAATATAATTTGCACTTACTTAACTATCAAAAATTAGAGAAAAAAAAAAATTATTTTTAGGGTTTCTTCTTACATTTTATATAGTTATAAAATTTTAGTTTTACACTTTTGTCTATGGTGATTTTTCGCGCTATATGACACATTTTATTCGAATAAAATTATTGAGAGGGATATTAGAGAGGCATTTGTATAAATTGAAATATGTACATAAGTATTGTAACATGTGTTTTGTTCGGTTTACATAATTATATATATATGTATATATATATATAGGAATTATAGAGGTGAACCTGTGATTATAAAAGAAATTATTTTGTATTTAAAACATGTAATTTGAGTTTCACTAACAAATGCTACAATAAATATTATTTTTCTTATATAATTATTTTGAATTATTTGATTTTTCTCTCTTTTGTATTAAAATTTTGAAATAAAAAATTAAATAATATAAATTGTATATTTAATAAAAATCTTTAAATAAATGTACTATAACAATTAATAATCTTGATGTCTTAATTTTTATATAACAGATTAAAATTCTGATAAGTTTCTAGTTTTTTAAATAAGAATTAGATATTGATCGAACTCGGACATAAAGAATTTCCAGAACATTTTTAATATAATTTGTTGTGCTATATACAGATATTATTTACTTTATTGTTTGAATTATTGAACCTCTCTAAATTATGAATTATTGATTTGATTATTTGAATATTGAATTATTGGTTTTTGGTTTCGTAGAAATTGTATAATTATTTTTTGTATTTTTCTCAAATAATTTGTGTTAAAGTTTAGGTTAGCTTAATAACATAATTATTAATTCGTTAAGAAAAGAAACTGGTTAACAACTGATTGTAATTCTGAAATAAAATGGACGCGTGACCATTCCACTTAGTGCGGAAATAAGTTCTGCCTATATAAATGAAATTTACAAATTAGACTCTATATCTCATAATTTTTTAGGTGATTATAAAATATTTGTGTAGGAAAGAAATTGCAAATGATTCAAATTAATTTAGAATTTTCAATATTCAGAAATTAAAAATTAGACAATTAATGTTTACTTCTATA